TGCTTACAAGATTGTCAATTGGTGGCATTTGGTCTCGTGAAAACATTGTTATAAAATCCAGTATAAGTGAATTTGCTGAAGAATCTATATTATGTCTTTCAAACTATATGTATTCGCCGCCGAAGCATTATAGTATAACAAACTTTGTCAGTAAGTTTAACATAAGACTTGTCGAACCTTCTTCAATGAAAGATGTTGTGCTACCCAAAGACGGAAAGGATGGACTCATTATTGAGATGATTTTAATAGCATATTAAATGAGTTTGCTCTTGAAAGTCATTCATGATGAAATAACTGTTGTAGAAGATGTTAGCAATTGTTCAGACATTTTGAAGCGAATAGATGAGGTAAGAAAGAAGTTAGATAGACCGCAAAGCGGTGAGGGTGAAGCCCGTGAGAATGTTTATGTTTCATTGACTTTCTCCAGTAATGAGAACTTTTATGAGATAATATTGAAGAGAGATGATTTTAATATGGTGTAAATGGTAGCTTGGGCAGCTTTAGGCGCAATGGGAACAAAAGCATTAGCATTTGGAGCAAAAGCACTTGGAGCTTATGACGTAGTAAATAAAATGAGTGGAGGAAGAGTTTCGAAGACATTAGATGCAAATAAAGGGAAGATTGGAGGCTGGGTTGCAAAGAAGTTAAGATTAAATAAAATAGGGCTCATAAATAAAGCATCCAATTTGGTTGCGACTGAGTCAGAAAATGCTTTAGGAAAGGACGATGAGTTTGCAAAACACGCAAAAGACTTTAATGACCAGATGAAAGGTGAAACAATGCATTTAAATAGATTCGATGGAACTAAAGAAAATGTTTCTTCTCCACAACTTCCAGCGGTTTATCCATACGGACCTTATGGAATGTATGGAAACCCTTATGAACGACCATTTGACCCATTGACTGGTGGAAGTAATTGGTATCATTACGGACGAAGAAGAAAGACAGTCAAGTTGGAGACAGATGTTAAGAAAGCAACTAAAAAGAAACCAAGGAAGAAAGTTATAAAACAATGAAGAGGAGTAAACTTCAAAATTATTTTTGTCGTGTATGAAATATTTTTGTAGAACAGTCACTGACTGATTGACTGACTGACTGTTCTAATGGCTGATTTTTTATAAATTTTTAAAGTTTATTTTTTAAATAATTTTTTATTTTATTTTGGATGTAATGACGAAAACTATTGAGATAACAAACTACAACGATCATGAGTTCAAGAACTTGTTCTTCGTTCCTCGTGAAAATACATTCTATCAGATACGAGGGAGAAAGGGTAAAGTTAGTTTGAGCGTTTATGACAACAAACATAATGGGAGATATATAAAAGCAATAGATACAAACGGTAAGCGTGTTTCATTAGCTTTGTCAAAACTTACATACATTCATTTTGACAGTGACTTTGACTCTGACGATTGGAGTGACAGCAAGGATACTGAAGAATATGAACTATTGTGTGAAGCACAGCAATGGGAAGCGCTGCAATACTTTTGTAAATGAGAACATTAGTGGGAACGTTTATTTTTTCATTAGTGAAGTCGTTAGCGAAAACGTTAGTGAGGTGAAGTGGTTGGCGGCTTTGTAAATGTTTAAGGTTAAGTTAGTGTTTGTGTTGTAAAATATACGTTAGCGGTTTTGTAAAGTGTCAAACCGTTATCTTGGGTGGGGTGGAGCGTAGTGCCACCATACCCAAGATAGGGATACTAACTGCAATTCCGAATAATTTAACATTCGGCTAAAATTTCTCCCATTATTAAGGAAAATGAAATGATAAGAGGTATATATGGTCACTATATACCTCTTGCCCTTTTATTTTCATTTGGACATTAACAAACTTGGTTTTTGGAAGTGCTCCATAATAAGAATGCATTACTTCTTTTATTTTTGGAACTATAACAAAAGGATAAAATATTGCAATCTGGCTCACTTTAATTATGATTACTGTAGTAATTTTTTGTGGTCGTCCTGGAAGTTTAGGTTCCCATAATGCATGATTGTAAATATAACCATCAATGACTTTTTTATTGTTTCCCATCTGCCACCTAGTTCCAATCTGATAATTGTTATAGGTAATTCAAAAAAAACTTTTAAGTATATAACCCTCTTCGAATAGGAATCTAGAATATTTGATATCCTTACATCGCGCAAAGCATAACTTTGCATTGCTTAAAGTTTGCTTTTCATTTTTATTATTGTAAATTTTGTAAACTACACAATTTTTATTATGTAATTTGTTTTGAGAACTTAGCTTTCTACTTGGCGGCCTCGTACCAATAGCTGGTACAAAGTCAAAATGGTTAGTTTTTAATCAATTGTAAATTCCAAAGGGGTTATTTACATGAAACTTTACTTTGAATTTCCAATTACATTTCTTCAGTTAGAACAGGAGAGTAACAAAGTTGCGCAAAAATCTGACACCCATTTTGTAAAGTATTTTTTCTGACAGGGAAATTCCCTCATACGTTTAAACTATTTTTAGATTTTATATTTTATGTAGGGATTATTTTATTGATTTTATTTAGATAAAAAATAAAGTATAGAAACATATTATTTCGCTTAAGTGTCGACATATTAAGATCTCCGCCCATCGCTACTCCACTTCTATCATATAGAAGTGGAGCAAAATTACAAATATTGTAAGAGTTCATAGTTTTAATCATAAATTTGCAAATTTATTAACAAAATTAATAAAAAAGTACTTCCGCCCGTCGCTACTCCACTTCTATCATATAGAGTGGAGCAAAAATCGAATTTAACCATCACTGTCTCTAACCTATGTCCTGTTTTTTTTACTCTTTTTTCGGGGGGACTATAGTTCTCCCCCCTTATTTACAGGTCCGTTGCCCTTTTTTAGGGTCTTTTTCCCCTTTTTATTACAGGTCCTAGGCCCTATTAGGGTCTCTTGCCCCTTTAAAACTTTTTTCCCAGGACAAAAAAAATGATCATTATATATATTTATTGTTATATTTTGTTACACTTCTTTATTGTTACCTCTTTATTAAATCTTGTTGTTATTTAATATAGCATTATTTTTATTTTAGAAGCAATTTTTATCACTTTAAGAGTTCAATGTACAAAAGTTGAAATGTTGAATTTATTTATTAGATAAATTTCTGAAAATTAATAGTTGATTCAATAAGGATTTTCCATATAATTTATTGTTTGAGTTATATTAGACCTCATTTTGAACTTTATGATAAAGATACATTTCGAATCTCAAAATGATACAGACGAAAATGATTTATAATTGGATATGTTTTTACACATGACTATCTGAGTTCATTCTTAGATTAGCAAGAAGTTTTCATTAACAGTTTTTGAGCATTGAAATTTAACAATTTAACATAAGAGTTTTCTGGTAGGAAATCGATTATTTTTAAGTACATATTTGACTGTTAAAGTATAACTTTGAATTAACAACTTTGATTTTTAATTCAAAATATCTTCAAACATTTTTCAGGATAATCTAAATATGTATTGGTGAAAATATTATTCTCATCCTATACAAACATATCAATGTATGCTTTTAAATTATCATCCAACATAGCTGGACTTATAGGCGTTTAAATACACCCTTAATTCACGACAATTTAAGGTTAAAAGTGGGGGTACCTTTTAGTGAGGGTATTTTATATATAATCCTTAGAGAAAAAAGATTATATATACAACTGTAATCTGTTAAAGGATGACTATGACGATAGCCCTACTACTGTAACCTCTTTTCTTGAAAAACACAATTTTATTCAAAAAATTCTTCAATCGATTTTAAAAACATTGTATAATTACATATCACAACATTATAATATCGATTCAACTTTAAAAATATTCTCACTTCTTTTCAATCGTAAATTTTTTTTCAGAGTCAAATCATCTAAACCAATTTTTCATAAAAATATATAAACCATATCATCACCAACTAAAAAAACTAACTGTATTCTAGAGTTCACTTAATATTAAGTTTTTACATATGTTTTAATGTTTTATGCTTTAGAATTGAATTTTCCAAATAATGCAATTATGGGTCAAAGTGATATATATATATGGGGTATATGTACTGATATATTGTATATGTCATAGGTCAATATACATTCTATTCATAGTTGCGACCAAAGTTCCTCTCAATTTATAGGCTAATTTGGTTCGGACCTAGCATAAAAGTGCTAAAATTAACTCTTTCCTTTCTTTGTTCATCACTGAATTCGATTGTTTTTGGAATCTGACTGTAATTAAATACGTATTCATCCAAGATTTCAAGAATTAAAGTTTCATTAACATTGATTTGATCAAATCCTTGTAAAGTCTCCTGAATTGCTGCAGCTGAGAAGAAAGGATAAAATACTGATATATGGCAAATTCTGTATTAAAAATAGTCTGTCATTTTTATCGGTCTACTTGGGGTTTCTGGTTTCAAAATTGATTGTTTTTCAATGTATGCGTCAATTATCTTCTTTATTGTTTCGATTCTTCCACCAAGTTCTAACTGAGTAGGTAACAAAAGTGCGTTATGTAAATTTTTGTAAAGTGTCAAAAATCTATATTTGACTTTGTGAAGTAAAAAAGCATTAAAACATATTTTTCTTTTGAAATATACATTTTAATTAACTAATTCTTGCGGATTTTTGCATATAAACCACTATATTTGTTACTTTCATCTTATAAATTAATAAATATTGGTCTTAAAAATTGAAAATATGTTAATATATTTGAATTTATGAAAAATTCAATAAAATATGCTAAAATGATTTTTTCATATTTTTAAAATTAATAAAATAAAATATAATTAGATTCTGAGTAAATTCAAAATAATATCAAACTTTAATTCAATTTGGAAAAAGAAAACGGCATCATTTTTTAATATGCAAGCAATCCCATGGTTGGAGCTAGCTAAGATCGGCATCAGAGAAGAACTCAAAGTGAATCTTCCTTAAAGACGGAGAACAGTAAAAGGTTCAGATGATTTAGTAAAATATAAATGCCCTATCAAAGGTTGTCCAGCACATATTATGGTACAGATGCTTGAAGGTGATCTTTATTACATCATAGAGATAGAGAGTGAACACCATCACATACCAGGATCAGAAGAAACATGCTGTCATTACTCATCCAGCTGGTACAGAGAGTACATGAAGAGATACTTAAGTCAAGGAGGAGCTACTTTCAAAGCACAATTGTGCTGCTTCAGAGAGCTTGAAATTCCAGCAGATGATTCACGTGTTTCAACTCTCTTCTGCCAAACACCAGAAGCAATAAAGATGATGGCTACAAGACACAACGAGATCAAAGCATCAAGACTTTCTCAGGATTCATTCGATAGTTTGGCCGCTATACAAGCAACTTATGATGATGTCTGTCCTGATGATCTTTTCATTTTTGAATACAGTCCAGATCGTTCAGAGCTTATGTTCATTTACGCACCTTTTGAAGGAAAAGGTTTGGGTCCGAACCAAAGTAGCCTATAAATTGAGAGGAACTTTGGTCGCAACTATGAATAGAATGTATATTGACCTATGACATATACAATATATCAGTACATATACCCCACATATATATATATCAGTTTGACCCATAATTGGATTATTGATAAAATAATTATTTTTAAAATCACATTAAATTTCAATATTCTTTTCTACAATGAAATAACTCTTTATATAGGTATATATAGCAGTAACAGATTGTATCAATATGTATTATAGTAGTGCATTAAATTTTTGGTCACATCAAAAAAATGTGTCCAAATGTGTTAAATCGGTTAGAAAGCATTATATTGATATATACATATGATATCCATACGTTGATAGCATATAGATATATTGTATATTGAGATATTTGAGAAAAGATTAATGATGTGTTAAAAATTGGTGTGTTTTAGAATATTAGCGTATTGATATTAAATTTATTAGTGGTATTGATATCAAATGTATATGAATGAGTTAAGTATAGAGATATTTTTCGGAATCTCCAAGATATTCGCATCAAAAAAAGTTTCGTTAATTTTGATAAATGTATATGTGTGTTATTTGTTATATTATATAGATGCATGTTATGTGTATTAGAATGAGTGCTATTGAGTATTCACTGAGATATTAGCACATCAAAGGTGAAAAAAGTGACGTTTTTCCGAGCAAACCTTGATGCTACAAATTCTATGGTTATCAGCTCTATTCTTAATTTTGCATAATAGATAAATATATAACTATTCGTAATATTATGTGGTATATTCAGATAGGCTCAATATTAACTATCAAAAAATTCCGTACGTGGAGCACATCAAAAGCATTCAATTTTTATTATATCTTATGAGGGTGATGTGTTATAAGCTTATAATATATATGAGTAATATCTATATATATGTCCAAATATGTGATAAAAGATTGAGGCTTGTTGAGTTAGTTTTGAGGTGTGATTAAAATGCAATCAGCACGTTACACATAAGCTTATATAATCTGAGTGTATTTTGAATATATTGAGTAAAGTATTTTATTTTGTGATGTGTATTATGAGTTTGAGTTATTTTTTGAGAAAATATAATTTATATCGAAAAAAAAGTTTGTCTGTTTGTACTCATTTTGTTATAGATATCTTATATTAATATATGCTTTTTATTTATATAATAAAAGTTGCGTGTTTACTATTTATTTTTTGAGATTCTATGATAAAAAAGGCGACATTTTCCTGAGGGAATTTTGATCGAGCGAATTTTGTGTGTGAGTGTGATGAGATTGAGATCACAGTTGAATATAATATATCACTATATATAATAGTATGCTATCATATGCTATAAGTGTGTAGGCTTAATATCCACAGAGATATAAATGCGTTTTTGTGATGAAAAAAGACGATTATCGGGGGTCAAAAAACGATTATTGTGAGTTATGTGAGTGAGCTATATATATGAAGTATATGTATGAAATATAGGAAACATTATATAGTATAACATATTATATAGCGCCGTTCCGGACAACACCACCTGGTGCTGTGGAACGTGCACAACAAAAAAGTACAAAGGAATTATTTAAGACCGATATAAATGGTCCTACCCCCACATTTTCATATATAAGGATTCATTTTATATTATTTGTTTAGAGTTCTGCACAAATTTCGCATAATATCATGAGATTCGTTCAAACTCAGATTTCGCTAATTCATATATAGGATGATTACATATGTTATATATTATCATATTACACAACTTAAATTGATATTAAAATATTATTCACTGAGTTATTATTTAAAAAACGTTATTTTTATGTGACGAAATTTTCAACGGAGCAAAATCCTATATATCACATCTATATCAAAGATCACACTTGTATATGTTTGTACACTTCCTTATATATATATAATTCATAGCACATATCTTTCAAATACACTTACCCATTGAGTTATTAATGAAAATCTCATCCCATGCGCATCATTTTTCCATTATATTTTCCCTAAAATGCGGTGTAAACTACACAATTCCCCGCTTGGGACGGAAAGAATTGTGTAGCCTCACACACTTATCATATACAATTTGTTATTGTATAAAACGAAAAAGCAAACTAATCCTAATATATCTATCATGTAATCTAAGATTTGACACTTAATATTTGATATCGAGATTTGAGATATCTTAAACAATTTTTGATTTTGTAATAGAATACTTTATTAAATACTTTACTAATTATAATCATCATATAAATATTCGGAATATTCAATTCTATAGCTTAAAAATTTAAATCAAATGTAAAAACATAATATCGCGGGGATACTAGAATGCACCAAGTTTTCTTAGTTGATAATTATATTGTTTATAGAATTTTTATGAAATTTTTGTTTAAAAAATTTGAATCAGAAAAAAAATTCGGGATTGAATGAGTCTTTGAATGGTTTTGTACTATATTGGTAGTATATTAATAGAATAAGGAATTAGATAATGATATTTAAAATTAATTGAAGAATTATTTTAAAAAAGTGTGTTTTTCGAGAAAAGAGGTTACAGTAGTAGGGCTATCGTCATAGCCATACTACTCTAACTTCTTTTCTCGAATTTTGTTTTTCAAATTACATTCTTTTTTAAAAATTATTATATTTCTATTAACACAATCGGATAAAATCATATAAACCCAATACTATTTAGATTTATCGACTCAGAAAATCTTAAAATTCTTATTTTATCTCTCAAATCGTCATTTTTATAATCATTTTTTGATTTTCAAATTTTTTTGGAATTTGATTTCATGGATTTTCTCATAATTTGTGATAATAGTGATAATTTAGTATGGCATTCCAAACGGGAACCGCGGTTGGTTACCATGGATTTCCGTCACCGGTGACATTTTAAAGATTTTTTAAGGCTTATAAAAATATGCTTTGTAAATCATTTTTTGTAAATCGGCAAAAATTTGGTAATTTTCTTCAACTAATAAATCTGCGAATAGCATTTATAATACAAGAACAATCTTTTAAAATGCGTTTGATTCATTTTTGTATAATTTCATATAGGCACATATATTCTTCCGGGACTTTCCGTGATTTTACCGTAAAATCATTAGTTTACACCAATTTTTCCGTATTTTGAATAGTTTACTGCACTTTTTCCGTAAAATTGAGTTACGGGAATCCGCAAAATTTCCGGACCTCATTTTTCATAGAATATAATAATAATATTTGATAAAAAGATATATTATTTATATTTTTGATTTTTGAATTACGGAAAAAGTGAATTGATAACTTGATTTTTTTATATGGTTAATTTTTCAAATGATATTATGAAGATCTAAAATATTAAAAGTAAAAAATTGAATTACGGAAAAAGTGAGGTCAAAAGTGAAATAAATTTGCAGAACAATTTTCATTGAAATAAGCTTTATTTTTCATTATTAATAACAATGCAAAAAAATATTTATCACGGGTTCAAAATTTAAAATTAAATATTTTAATAATTTACATCTTATTCTTTATTTTATATTTAACCCGTGAAAATATCATTTAAAAATTGAATATATTCAAAAAGCTTTATTTTTATTATGACTGCATGGGATCCTCATGTATATGATGAGTGGATTCCATTTAAGAAGACGAAATATCCACCAACTCCTGAAACATTGGAAACAAAGTGTGGAAAAAATGTTTCACTACGATCGGCTATTATGAGAATGAGCCTAATCAATCAGACAAAGGAAGGCTCTTTACATACTGTGCCGAATGTAGTGAAACATTAGTTCAAGGGCAGTTCGTGCGATGCATTAAAAAAGCAGGAAAAATGATTTTAAAGATCATAAGTGCAAATTTTTACTCCCAATGCCCAACTACGTTCCTGCTGAGCACCAAGTTGAGAATACTCAGCAAGCAGTTGGCTCTGGTAATGATCCTTCGTTAGAAGAGATCATTGCCAGGCTTATTGCGAGCCTAGATATAAGCCTTTATGCCACAATGAAGCCAGCATTTAAAAGCTTCCTAGAGAGCTTCGCCAAATGGCTTAAAAATAAAGTCAATCGCGAACAGGGCATCAACTTTACAATCCCAGACATTGAGTTCACACGGCGCGGTGTCAGAGAGGCATTGATTACTTTAGGCAAAACAGACTCCTCTCGGGGCCTAAAGTTCTGCGAGGAATTCCGCATCTTCTCAATTTCCCTGGACTGCGGAACACACGGCAGCCGTCATGGTCTATTCTCTTGTGTGTGCAATCCAGGCAAAACAGATCGCCACCAATTCTTCGACACAACAATTTCGACTAATTGGACATACGAGGACTACCATACGTGGTTTGATTCTCTTAAGGTTAAAAAAACCACGTAGCTGGAGTAGTCGGAGATGGTTTGCCAGCCCAGGTTAAAGGACTCTGCCACTGGAGGCCAGAAGGAGCCCTTTTCCCTGGCTTACAAACCGTGTACATTCGTTGCCTTAACCACGTCTTGAACAATGCTATTGTCCACGCACGTAAGCAATGTCCATTGTTGAATGAACTGATGAATAGAGTTCACCAGATTATCATTATCTTTAAGAATCACGATATGAGAGCGAGATACAAGATCAGGGTTCCATCAATCCCGGAAACTCGCTGGCTCTACATATATGATACTCTGTTTTTCATCTTTGATAATCTGGAAACAATTAATACTGCTTTAAGAAGTGGAGATCTTCCACTATCCCTTTCCAGAGCTACACGTGAACAGTTACAATGGACACGTGATGGAATTCCTCCACTCTTTAAAGATGCTTTAATGATATTCAAGCCATTAAAGCAACTTCAATTATGGCTGGAATCCAACAAGTCCATGGGTGCTTATGCATTCCTGATGATACAACAGTGCCAAGGGATGTTGGATGAAATGGCAGGAAGATTAACGCCAGATGGTGAAGAGATTCTCCGATCAATCACTACAATATTCAAAAATGATATGAAAGAATATGGTAGAATTGATTTGCTTCGGTTTGCTTTCGGCTTTACACCGTTAGCAAGGAAGATCATCAGAGACAAGAAGGGTTTTGGAGGAAAGACAAGCTATCCACCTATAATGCAGTTGAAAGATGTGCAAGTCCCAACGATTCCTTCCCTGAGGATCATCAATCGCGAGATCACATTTGAGAAACTCGGCGAAATCCTTGAAGAAGAACGAACAGAACGTGTTGACGAGGTAGCCGAGCATGATGAAGAGATCCAGCAAGCAGAAGAGGAACAAATGCTTAACGACGATCATGCAGCCGAAACAAATGCCGATGGTTCGAGGAATTCCTTGGTCTGGGATGTTGTAGATGAAGAGATAAAAGATCTATACACATTCATGATAACAATCCTCAGACAAAGAGCAATTGCCGAATCAACAGTTGATCCAACGATCAATAAAGACGATAGAGCCAAGGAATTGAGTGATGCTTACGATTTCTTCATAGAGCAAGATGATTCCCATCTTATAAATGGTCATCATCTTGCTCAAAATGATGGCAAGTTTTGGTACATGAATGGCATAAAGCAACTAAAAGCAATAAGACCAATTGGAAAAAGGATGATGTCACTTTCGTGCAGTGAAGCAGATGTAGAACGTGTAATATCTGAATTGCGAAAGACAAGAAATTCAATGAACGAATCATGCAAAGAAGAATATGTAGCATGCCGCTTCTTCATCAAGTTGAATGATGATCAATTTGATATTTGATTTTGTTTTTTAATAAAATTTATTAAATAATTTGTTTTAAAAAGTATTATTTTTATTCGTAAAGATATTAGACAGAAGGTGGCCAGCCTAATGTCTATCAATCTTTAATATTAGTAGTAATTTCCCGCATTTCTGAATGATGATTGATTAGCTTTGTTGTTATTGATGTAAAACTGGATAAGTATTAAATAATTATATTAATCTTGGCCAGGGGACTGCTGATGGCCAGTCAGCAGCGGCCACTATGAATCATTATAATTATTTAATACCTAAATTGAGGTAAAAAGCAATAAGACTTGCCGAGCCTCATGCCCCTACCTCATATAAATAGAATCACACTTTAGTGAATCAACATCTATAAGAATGAAGTGTTTTGAAGCTGAAATAATATTGAATAGAAATTAATTTTTTCTGAAATTTTGAATGAAATTATGGGAAATAAAAAAATTACTAAATATTGTATTCATACAAATATATTATTTTATAGGAAAAATAGATGCTGATAGAAACGATGAAAATTTTTGAAAACTTTACAATTAATTTATGTTCGTTAACCACAGAGCTTGCAATCCAAAGCTCACGTTAGACAACAAGAGTCATGAAGTCTCATACTAAGGGATATCCAACATATATTTTAATAATCTAATGTTTGTGACAAATATTCAACATAAAATTAAGTTTTCGTTTCGTTACAAGGCATTCATACTTTGGAGATATCATATTTAATGTACAGAAAAGTTAATATTAAACAATACATGCTAAAGAATTAATAAATAAGATAATAAAATAAATTTATACGTAATTACTTTCATTTAATATGCTTTATGCTGTATAATATTGATTAAGAGGCATTAAAAGGTTCCATAGTCTGCTTTTATAGGCAAGATTTTTGATAAAAATTTTAAATTTTGAAAAATGATGAGAAAAGGAAAAAAAAGGTAAATGAGAGCAAGAGGAGGGAAAAAAAGAAAAAGAAAAGAAAGGGAAGGGAAAAATAAAAGAAAGAAGGACATATAAAAATTTAGATGCGCATTCTTAATGCCGAGGCGGCTTGCCGCCGAGGCGCGATTTTTTTAGGCCTCTACGGTAACCCGGCAATGTTTTTTTAAATCTTGTACAGCCCTATAATTTAGTATCATAAAAATATCAAATATGCCATTTTACATATTATTCATTTGGAATTAGATTAATTTTTTTTACATTATTCACAGATTCACAAATCCAACAATGTATCATGTTATCATACATATTAGATCCTAATAAACTCAATAAACACACTATATAACCCATCAATTATTTCGAAATTTCAAAATATACAGTAAAATTAAGCTTAATTCTTAAAATAACACCGAACAAATCTTATCTTAGGTGTATATACGAAGTATCCATATAATATATAGTGTAAATCTCATTAAATTTTAAAAAGATCTTATTTTCTAATAAAAAACACAATATGATGCTAATTTTATACGATGAAATTCATTTACTCATAATTTAAATACGACTAAACATGCTATTTTCTATACTTACACAATTTTTTAAATTTGATATTTAATATCAAATTCAAAATTTGAAATTTCATAGTGATTCATTTCTACTCAATATATTAACTTAGGAAGCTTATACATTTTTTGGATTAAATGAGTTAAAGTCCGATTTATTTATTTGCCGTATGTCGGGAAAAAGTCTATGTCAAATATGCGATAATAAGGAATGAATTTTGGAAAACGCATCATTCACAGATATATGAAATTAGATAATAACTTGACAAATAGATATGATATAAATGTGATTCAAAGTTGATATATACTAGTGATAAGTGCTTATTTTAAGTAAATGATATTTACTTCAAAAACACCAATATTAAATGATTCTCTCAGTTTGAAGTTTCGTCACATAAAAATAACGTTTTTTAAATAATAACTCAGTGAATAATATTTTAATATCAATTTAAGTTGTGTAATATGATAATATATAACATATGTAATCATCCTATATATGAATTAGCGAAATCTGAGTTTGAACGAATCTCATGATATTATGCGAAATTTCTGCAGAACTCTAAACAAATAATATAAAATGAATCCTTATATATGAAAATGTGGGGGTAGGACCATTTATATCGGTCTTAAATAATTCCTTTGTACTTTTTTGTTGTGCACGTTCCACAGCACCAGGTGGTGTTGTCCGGAACGGCGCTATATAATATGTTATACTATATAATGTTTCCTATATTTCATACATATACTTCATATATATAGCTCACTCACATAACTCACAATAATCGTTTTTTGACCCCCGATAATCGTCTTTTTTCATCACAAAAACGCATTTATATCTCTGTGGATATTAAGCCTACACACTTATAGCATATGATAGCATACTATTATATATAGTGATATATTATATTCAACTGTGATCTCAATCTCATCACACTCACACACAAAATTCGCTCGATCAAAATTCCCTCAGGAAAATGTCGCCTTTTTTATCATAGAATCTCAAAAAATAAATAGTAAACACGCAACTTTTATTATATAAATAAAAAGCATATATTAATATAAGATATCTATAACAAAATGAGTACAAACAGACAAACTTTTTTTTCGATATAAATTATATTTTCTCAAAAAATAACTCAAACTCATAATACACATCACAAAATAAAATACTTTACTCAATATATTCAAAATACACTCAGATTATATAAGCTTATGTGTAACGTGCTGATTGCATTTTAATCACACCTCAAAACTAACTCAACAAGCCTCAATCTTTTATCACATATTTGGACATATATATAGATATTACTCATATATATTATAAGCTTATAACACATCACCCTCATAAGATATAATAAAAATTGAATGCTTTTGATGTGCTCCACGTACGGAATTTTTTGATAGTTAATATTGAGCCTATCTGAATATACCACATAATATTACGAATAGTTATATATTTATCTATTATGCAAAATTAAGAATAGAGCTGATAACCATAGAATTTGTAGCATCAAGGTTTGCTCGGAAAAACGTCACTTTTTTCACCTTTGATGTGCTAATATCTCAGTGAATACTCAATAGCACTCATTCTAATACACATAACATGCATCTATATAATATAACAAATAACACACATATACATTTATCAAAATTAACGAAACTTTTTTTGATGCGAATATCTTGGAGATTCCGAAAAATCTTGGACTTTTTACATCAAACATACATAGAACAAATACACTCTTAAAATAAATTATATTCACATTGTCAAATCAAATTTGACACATTTTTTTAAGATATCGAAATTCTTTTTTATAAAAAACACATTCAACACACTAAAATCACTAATATCTCTACTAAACATATATTATACATACATATACACACTCAAAACACACTCAACATTACTCACAAACATAGATATATTTTGTATCATATACCTAACTATTAAACTAAGTGTGTCTAACTACATCAACATAATATATATTATCTATAGATGATATACACATCAACAAAACATAGTGTTACCGTTCATAGCAAATTTAATGCAAGCTCAAATATAGGGTAAATATTAATATATTGATTTGATTACATGAATGAACTACATTATGGGTGGCCTATCTGGTGGTATCACTCATTGGTGCTGATAACTTTTATAGATGTCTGTGACCAAACTTTCCTCTCAATTTGTCGGCTACTTTGGTTTCATCCCGAAAAGGTTTTGCCCACCAGATCAACTTGAATGAAAGGCCAATACATATCGATTCAACTCATTCATTGCTAGAAGGCAAGCTTCAAGTCTTTGCACTAACAGCAAAGACTATCCAAGAAACAATCTTCCCATTCTGCTACTTTGTTGTCCGCCCAAATACAGCTGAAAACATTCAACGTTGCCTCTATCAGTTCTGCATATGGGCCCACCTCGATCCAAAAATGTTTTGTGCAGACTGCGCTCTCAATATTGCTGTAGCAGTTGAGTGTGGATTTCCCCTTGCACACCTTACCTGGTGTGCAGTACATGTTTTAAGGGCGATAAGTAAGTCAGAGATCAAATCGAAGTTCGTTTCCAATGAGAATTACGAGACATTTTATATCCTCATGGACTTCTTAACACTTCGCATTGATACGACAGACGAACAGCAGATGAAAGAAGAATCAACCGCAGCATATGAGAATCTTGTTACACTTTTGGAGCAAGCAGAACCAACTGCCTTCAATTATTTTGCGAAGCAATGGAGACCCCATTTAGTCAAATGGATGATCATGCACCGTGGATCAAATGAGGCAACTAACAACGTCTCTGAGAGCCATTTCCGCCAGATCAAATATACTGTTTTCCTTGGAAAAAAGCATATCAGAATTGACGATTTTGTAAATATGATCATTCGAGAGGTTTTCCCATCCTACCTTCTCAAAATCCGAGTTGCAAATTCACGAGATCCGGAAACTCGCTTCATGAGAGTTCTTCAGAAGGAGAAAGGAATCACAGAAGAAAAGCGTTTTATCCAACGTGAAAAATGCAAAGCAATTTTAATGTTCCTCTTCAATGCCTTGGAAAATGAGGCAATCCAGCCTGAGGGATATATCTCTCAACTCTCACTTTTGGCAGAAATTGCCCAAGAAGAAATTGAAAAGAAAATTGAAAATGATTAAATTTGAATAAAAAAATTTTTATTATACCTTAATTTGATATCTTTTTAGTCTCAGAACCAATTATGCAGCAAAATAATAGGAATACATAATGAAAAATAATAAATATAGGGTGTCCAAAGGTGCGTTTAGCACAGCGCTCTATATGAGACTATTAAAGGAGATATATGCTGATTATAAATATATAATAAAAAATATGAATATATGTATATGATGAGTATGTTGTATTTTGGCGCCATGCCGGGATATAAAATGAATTTTGAGACAAGAGGCGGTTTCGCGGGAAATTTTGGCGGGATTTTTTTCATTTTTTTAATGAATCATAAAGAAAACATCCTCGCTCTTGCAAAAAAATGCAAAGACTGTAAAAAAATCTACGAGACATTGGTAAAATGCTTCGGTATGGATGCTCCTAGCTATTCCACTGTAACGTATCATGTTAGGATGTATCACTTCATGAACAAAAAGGCGCCCATTATAAAAATTGACAAAAAATTGCCGGATCAAAGAAAAATCAAAGCAATTCTTCAAGCGCTAGATGAAGACCCAAGAGCATCACTCAGAAGGATAGAGGAGATGACAAAGATACCACGTACAACAGTCAGTTATTATCTGCACAATTATTTGAACTACAAACTAGCGTATACACGTTGGGTTCCGCACAACCTTAATTCAGTTCAAAAAAATCTAGAGTCCAATCTTCGAAAGAGCTCCTCTCTATATTGGGTGCGTATCAATCCAAGAAGTTTCGCTTTTTAGTAACAGGGGACGAGTCTTGGTTTCACTATGCAACAGAAGCCAAAATCATGTGGATCCCGAAGGATGAAAATCCGCAAACATTCCCGAAGAAAAAAATTGACACACCAATGATGATGTTGTCGGTTTTTTGGGGCGTGAATGGCATCATCGCAATTGATATTCTTCAAAAAACTAATACGATGAATGCTCAGTATCTAATTGACAATGTTCTTACTCAAATTATCAATTCTGATGAGTTTGAGAAATCCAAACAACAAAAACAAAAGTTTGCAATTCATTTTGATAATTCAAGAGTTCACAAAAGTCATAAGGTAATGAATTACTTGGTGGAAAACAATGTCAAAGTTGTTCCAAACCCAATTTATTCACCTGATATTGCACCCTCTGACTTTTATTTATTCGGCACGCTAAAAAAGAGAGCTGAAGGACGCGAATTTGCGAGTCCAGATGATCTTGAAAATTTTGTAAGAGAGCAATTTGAGCAATTTTCTCATGATGATTTAAAGCGTGTCTTTGAAGCCTGGATCGATCGCTGCGAACGCGTGATTGAATCCAATGGTGATTATATTTAAATAAACTTTATATATATGTAACTTGTTTATTTCTATTCGCAGTATTCAGGTTTGTGCTAAACACACCTTTGGACACCCTATATTAATAATAAAACAAACAAAACGTCTTTTCATAAATTTTATATATGCTAGTTGGCTTTGTTTTTGATGTCAAATCTCAGTTTGGATCGGATGTTTTGAAGTCGACAATAGAGATGAAAAGAAGACAAATTCTTCAGTTTAACCTGATTGCAAAAAACTGGAGAATATCTTCTCAAGCGGAAATTAATGAAATTTAATTTTGTAATAAAAATTGTTTAGATGTTCGTTTTAAAAAAAGAAAAAAATATGTTTCCTAGGGATCGAACTTGTGTCTCCAAAAAAATTAATAAAATTATAAATTCAAGATTGATAAAGTATTAATTACTAAATGAAAAATGAAAAACAAATGCCGATTTATTCTTTCGTTTTGGTGAATTTTTAATTCAAAAATTGTAAAACATGAAAAATATAGGGTGTCCAAAGGTGTGTTTAGCACAAACCTGAATACTGCGAATAGAAATAAACAAGTTACATATATATAAAGTTTATTTAAATATAATCACCATTGGATTCAATCACGCGTTCGCAGCGATCGATCCAGGCTTCAAAGACACGCTTTAAATCATCATGAGAAAATTGCTCAAAATTGCTCTCTTACAAAATTTTCAAGATCATCTGGACTCGCAAATTCGCGTCCTTCAGCTCTCTTTTTTAGCGTGCCGAATAAATAAAGTCAGAGGGTGCAATATCAGGTGAATAAATTGGGTTTTGAACAACTTTGACATTGTTTTCCACCAAGTAATTCATTACCTTATGACTTTTTGGAACTCTTGAATTATCAAAATGAATTGCAAACTTTTGTTTTTGTTGTTTGGATTTCTCAAACTCATCAGAATTGATAATTGAGTAAGAACATTGTCAATTAGATACTGAGCATTCATCGTATTAGTTTTTTGAAGAATATCAATTGCGATGATGCCATTCACGCCCCAAAAACCGACAACATCATCATTGGTGTGTCAATTTTTTTCTTCGGGAATGTTTGCGGATTTTCATCCTTCGGGATCCACATGATTTTGGCTTCTGTTGCATAGTGAAACCAAGACTCGTCCCCTGTTACTAAAAAGCGAAACTTCTTGGATTGATACGCACCCAATATAGAGAGGAGCTCTTTCGAAGATTGGACTCTAGATTTTTTTGAACTGAATTAAGGTTGTGCGGAACCCAACGTGTATACGCTAGTTTGTAGTTCAAATAATTGTGCAGATAATAACTGACTGTTGTACGTGGTATCTTTGTCATCTCCTCTATCCTTCTGAGTGATGCTCTTGGGTCTTCATCTAGCGCTTGAAGAATTGCTTTGATTTTTCTTTGATCCGGCAATTTTTTGTCAATTTTTATAATGGGCGCCTTTTTGTTCATGAAGTGATACATCCTAACATGATACGTTACAGTGGAATAGCTAGGAGCATCCATACCGAAGCATTTTACCAATGTCTCGTAGATTTTTTTACAGTCTTTGCATTTTTTTGCAAGAGCGAGGATGTTTTCTTTATGATTCATTAAAAAAATGAAAAAAATCCCGCCAAAATTTCCCGCGAAACCGCCTCTTGTCTCAAAATTCATTTTATATCCCGGCATGGCGCCAAAATACAACATACTCATCATATACATATATTCATATTTTTTATTATATATTTATAATCAGCATATATCTCCTTTAATAGTCTCATATAGAGCGCTGTGCTAAACGCACCTTTGGACACCCTATAATATAAAATCTATTAAAATTTTAATTGTTCTTTATCTCAAGATGATACAGACGAATTTTTGATTACTCGACGCATAATATCTTATAATGATCTACATAATCTATAGCCTTAAAACCAAGTCGAAATTTTTAACAATTTTAGAGTGGGGGTATCTTTCAGCACTAATTCCAATTTTTTTTTTAAAAATCCAGATGAATCAAAATATTGTTAGAAGGGACCCGCAGTTTATCTTTTTAAAAGAGGAAGATATGCTTTATGCTATTGCAGATGAAACTGATGACACTCTCCCTATTTTTGATTCGATAAACTTCAACAATTTGATTAAGATCAAGAAAGTAGATTCAATTACGTTTCAAGGATTAAAATCAGGCCAGTCATTTCATCCCGTTTCTGAAATTGAAAATCCTTATAAATTAAATTGGAATAAAATTATTAGGTTAGTTCTCAACGATTTTAACAAATCTCATAATGATTCAGAAGTGAAAAGACCGCTTATCAATTCTTTATCATGCATATTTGTTATCGATGAAAATAATATTCAATATTTTCCATCAGGTTATTCTACGGAGATCTCATTTACTAATTCGTTTGGTAAGATACTAACTGAAATTGGCACTTTACTTCAACTAGGAGAAACGTGGCTTGAAAAATTAGCTCGAATATGTTTATTAAAGCCTGATATACGACCAAAGTTTGATTTTGTTACATCATTAATGAAATACCCAGAGTTCTACTTCCCGTGTTACCATGAATCTGGAAATTACAATAATGGAGGAATAGTTAAGACTGACGATGCTATAAAGCTATTCATCGATTTTATGGCGCATAACAAAATCAATAATTCAGATTTTATAGACATTTATGAATTAATACAAGGATATAAGAATAAAAGAAACAAAATTGACGTTATTACTCCCATACCAAAGTTACTTAATGGATCTGCTGATGAAATTAAGGATCTTGCGTCCAAAGGAATGTATTTAGCAAAAATTCAATATTTGAAAAGCATAGACAAGAAAATCGATGAATATCAAGTCAAAATTCCCAATCAATATATCGAAGAATATAAAAATACTTACAAAAACTTGTTGGGTGATCCGGATACAATTGATTTCGAAAAAATGTTCATTGATTCGATAATAAAGTTCGGGATATTCTACCAACAGTTATATTATAATAGTATTAAGGGAGATAACAAAGAAGACTACAAATATTTCCAAATTTCAGAAGAAATTTTCATAAAAGGCATCGAACAACGAAATTCAGTAGTATGTCAATACTGTTGTGGAAGACTGAATCATACAAGGTTTAACAAAACAAGAAACCAAGAGAATTTTAAAAATGCAAAATTAAATTATCAAATAGTGATAGACAAAGCTCCAAAACATAGCAAATTTTGGAACCTTGCTAACTATCAAATGGCATTGCTTCTTAAATCAAACAGAGTTCCTAAAAATGTTTATCTCCCTTATCTCAGAAATTCGTGCAAAGTAAGTACCAAAGGTCGTAACGAAAGGCTTACAGATGATTCATTTTACTATGATTCAACTCCTTACGAACATATTAACAAAATTAATAAAAAATTCTTATCAAACGTTCTCCATGTTAGTCTGACTGGATTACAGAGGACGGACTAAATCAACTGTCTTCATCAAAAACATTTTGAGAGTAAAGTATTATTAATATGTAATGTTTAGTCAAATAAATTTTCCAATTTTATGTTTGTAGCATAAATGTGAAACATTATCAGAATTTAAGAGGCATAAAGTTATTATGCATTGTCATGATAAATTATTTTCTGCTTTATATATTTGGTTAGAGATGGATAGCGAAATTTCAAGCAATCTGAAAGAAATTTTTTCTGCTTTAATGTTCAGGAACTTGAAATTGTAAAATTTGTACAAACAAATGACAGTAGAGTGTAGTGTTTGATTCAAAATTTTGAAGTTCAATGAAATAATATATTGATTCCAAATACCTTATTTGCTTTATGTGCTTGTGTTTAATGGTACTTTTTGAGTATAACTATGTTCGGAAAGTTTGCTGATTTCATTAGATGAGAAAACATCAAACATTTTAAACAAAACCCTTAAGCCAACTTTCCTCAAAGTTTGACATTTGCATATATATAGTGTGTTGAATATATGAATCAAATCTATAGTTACTAAAGGGCTTTGGAAATTTCCATCCAAATTATTAAATTCTAACATATAGTTTTGAGCATGGAAACCTTATTGCCTTTTCAAGGGATCATATGTTTAGCTATTCATTTTGAAAAAAAAACCTATTTTTTTTTCAATGCAGATTATGCCGACTTAAACCTTGGAGGAAACTTATCAAAGTCAACAACAAGAAAGCATTCAAAGTACATTTTATTCTGTGACTATTCTTATCCATTTTTTTAGCTATAGACAATATTTCTCTGTTACAAGTTCGGCAAGGAAAAAAAATTAATCCTTTTTCCTTGGCTCAAAGTCTTCGGGAAAATCATTACTAATTAAGAGAATGCAAGCTCTTTCTGAAGACAAACGTATTTCTCCATTCGATCAGATCGCTCTTCCAAAACCAACAGAAAGAACCAACGCATTTAACTTTAATTTCCGTGGAACGACATTTGTTTTCAAAGAACTTGGTGGAGATAGGATAAAAGATTCGGAACACCATGCTAAAACACCTAAAGCAATCATTTACGTGTTTGATGCTGCTATGAAAAAATGACAGCAACAAATATTGTCTTTCTTCAAGAATCACTATCATCGAAAGTTACAGAAGATAAACCTATCTTAATTGTGCTTTCAAAATGTGATAAATTTTGTTCATTTCAACGTTATTGATAAAATTATTGGCTTTGATGCTTTCGACAAGAAGTGTATATCCTTCATGGAAACTTCAGCTGTTGTTGGCGTTGGATTGGATACTATTTTCGAATGGTTTACAGATCAGATGAAATGAGCTTATTTTTTTATTTATTTTGATTAATAAAAAAAAAAAAAAAAAAAAAAAAAAAGGGTAGTGGGGCTTCCAGGGGCTGCGCCCCTTCTAGCCCTGAAGATGATTAGTATAAATGAAGTTTTTATTCGGAGGGCTTCCAGGCGCGTTGCGCCCTCTAGCCCATAAGAAATTTTGCCCAAGACCCAAGAGGAGGACCGAACCCCAGCCGTTGACACTTTTTCTGTCGCTTTTCACAAATTATATATGTTTTCATGCTTTGTCACTTTTCTGTCACTTTTCGGGTAAAAACATTTTTATTATTATATATAAATGAATTTTACAAAACCACCGTTACCGTTCTTTGGAAATAAGAGTAGATGTAAAGATATTATATTGAGAGAACTTAAGAAACTACCGAATGGTCTAACATTTGTAGATTTGTTCGGTGGAAGTTTCTATATATCCCATTTATGTCATATAATATTCCCAGACTCAAAGATTATATGCAATGACTTCGACAACTATATGGACCGTCTCAAACATATACCAGACACAAACAATATATTGAAAGAGTTAAAAGAAAAGATACCTATAGGTAAGATGGAACGTATACCATTAGATAACAAAAATATTGTGAGAGAGGTTTTGAAAAAAGCAGAATATATAGACTGGGATAGTATATCTGCTAGACTATTATATAGTGGTTCTATAAGAGTTCATGACATTGAAACACTTATGTCAAAAGTTTTATATCTTAACTATACAAATGTTTTCAAAGAGGACATAGAAAAATATATTGAGGGTATAGAGTTTGTGAGATGTCATTGGACAGATTTGTATGAAAAATATAAAGACAAGGAAAATGTTTTCTTTATAGTGGACCCGCCGTTCTATAACACATGGGATTTTCAATACCAAGTAGACTGGACTTTGAGAGACTCTTTAGAAACTTTAGACGTTTTACATAACCATCCATGCTTTTACTTTACATCCGATAAAAGTGGTTTGGAAACCGTTATGAGATGGTTAGAGGACATACATGACTATGAGTTTATATATGACAAGATAGAATATGAGAGAGGTCCTATAAACTGGAGAAAGTGTCACAATAAAGAAATTTTATTAGTAAGTAAATGTGGTTTTAAATCGGATTGTTAGTTTTAGGTTTTTTTCCATTGTGTCATTTATTTATTTGACGTGGCAGAAAGTACAGAGAATATGAAGATGAACCAATGACTGCAAAGTTCAGCATATGTACTCGTAAGAGATATTTTTATCTAATATTAAATGGACGCACAGAACTTAGCGAATGCACAGCAACCTGGACAACCAAACCCAGAGAATATTCCAAATGAAGTTAGAATACAAACTGCAATGGCAAACTATGGTCAAGTGCCAACAGATGTACAAATGCAAACTGCCATGTCAAATGACGCTGCGTTAGGTTTGCCACCATGGTATGCAAATATGAGATGGAAAGAGTTTTATACAAACCCTGAAGTGGGATATAACAACTTTATGCAGATGACGCGAACACAGGAGTTGACCAGAATATGTTTTCTACCAGAGGAGAAACAGAATGTATGAGCTCCAGTTAAAGAATGCTATGGAACTCAACAGGAAACGTAAGAGACTAGGCGGACATTAGATTTTTACATATAGTAAAATGGGTTTCTTCAGTAGTATTGGAAACTTCTTTCGAAATGTTGGAAGAGGTATATGGAATGGAATAAAAACCGTAGGAAGAGGAATTTGGAACGGAGTCAAAAATATTGGTAAAAAGTAGGTCAGTTTGTTGGTATTATACCTAAAGACCCTGAACCAGAAGAACAAGCTCCTGTAATACAACAGCCTGAACCTGCACCACAGTCAAGTTGGCAACCAAATCCAACACCTCAACCGTATTAAAAAATTATATTTTTTACCGTTCGATAGTAGTTGTATATGAAACTAAGTTCTAAGTAAACGCGTGGTATAATGGAATTATTCTTTTTCTTCCATCTGTAGTAAACCATACTTGAAAGTCTGAAATACTTCCACTTGGTGGTTCGTATAACTTTGTAGGTTTTTCGTAAAAGTCATTTGCCAAGCATAAGAAAGAGTTTTGGGCGCCAGAAAATGAAGCATGAACAATAAATAGCATCTGGGTCGAAAACATTTTCATATGTTCCATTAGGGTTTTCGACTTCATAATAGTCCGGGTGTACTGGATATTCTGCAGGCTGATTTAACATCCTCATAAATCTATACCATGCCAAGTTGTTATATTTTGTAGAAATATAAACGTTTTCTCCAAGGTCTTCTATTTTATTGATTTTAACAGTTGCATTTTTTCCTGTCATAAATAATATCGAGATGGTATTCTCCTTCGTCAATGTTATACTGGTTTGCATATTCGATATAGATATCGTTTTATTTTTTCTTGAAAAGCTTGAAGAGTTGTTTCTAAGTTTACAAGCAAACTAACTTGTAAAAGTTTTCCCTGTTCAAATTTCTCATGCATACGTTTTTTCTTTGTTATAGTATCGAACTTCAAAACCGACCGTAAATGGGAAACCATGTATGGCTTCTGAAATGAACTTCATTCTACGAAAGCCAATAGCTTTTGTGACAGATGGGTCTCTTAACCATCTTAATGGGTAGTCAAAACGATAGCCTTCATGCTTTACGGTCTCTGTCTCAAACTTTTGACCGACATTAGTAAAAAGTTCATCTAATGGTTTAGTTGTAGCAACTCTTGAATTTTTCTTTTTCTATTGGAAGCATATTTTATCTAGAATAAAAATGTCGAAAGATATTGCTTCCATGAGAGAAATACAACACAACCGACAACTCATTATGCAAGCTCTAAATAAGAACACAACAAACTTTTCAAACTATTCTAAGATATCTGAGTCATTGAAAGAAGGAAACTTAAAACTGACATTAAACCCAATGACAGATGAGTTTCTGTTTCAAGACAAGAAGAACAATACTGTCTGTATAAATCCAACAAAAGGAACTTTAAACGAGAAACCTATAAATGAACTTCTTTTGAAGGCAGATGTTGACAACAAAGCTGACAAAGAATATGTAGACGATGCAATAGCAAAAGAAGAAGAAAGAGCTAACAATGCTTATGCAACAAAAGAACATACTCATCCTGAACTAGCAGACAAAACATATGTTGACAATAAAATGTCAAGTGAAGTGACGAGAGCTGAAAACGAATATTCTAAAAAGACTCATACACATTCTATATCTGAAATAACAGACTTACAAGAAACCTTAAACAGTAAAAGTGACGTTGGACATACACATACCATTGCAAATATTGCAAACTTACAAGAAACCTTAAACAGGAAAAGTGACGTTGGACATACACATACCATTGCAAATATTGCAAACTTACAAGAAACCTTAAACAGGAAAAGTGACGTTGGACATACACATTCTATATCTGAAATAACAGACTTAAACGTTAGCCTTGAAAAGAAAGCAGATAAAACATATGTCAATGAAATATACCAAAGTTTGATAGGAACAACTAAAAATATTGAAACTATTGTTGGTGACTTTTCTATCTATGAAGAAAACAAATATTTTAGATGGGAGTTTGTACAGTCCTTAAGAAATGGTATACGGTATAAACTCATTCCGAAAAATAACAATGAAATGTATGTAAGCTATATAAAGAATGATGGTACACAAGTTAAAGTTCCATTAGACAACAACTGCTACTTAAACTTATATGGAGACGAACAAAGAAATATTTAAGAGTTTATGAAATGACAGATATGACATTGCCTGACCCAGCTCCAGCACCATATTATTATGACTATGGAGATGATGTCAGAACACCACATGTAGATGAACAAAAGCTAACATTATATTTAGATTATTATAGATATAAAAGATATAATGCAATAGAAAAAACGAGAATAGTATATTATTATACAGATGACAGAAATAAATATTATAGTCAAGACTTTACCTACCCTGAAAACATAAGATTATATTATAAAAAATATTCTGACACAAACCAGAAGAAACCTGAAATAGTTGCACTATATTTTAAGTTCAAAAGAGACAATCCTATATTATCTCATATGTTTGATTTAATGAACCCAGTAGGTTCTATTTATACATCTATGGATGCGAGAGGTCCTCAAGTAATGTTTGGTGTTGGTGCATGGGAACAAATAGTCGACAGGTTTTTGTATTGTGCAAACTCTTCAAAGGAAACAGGTGGAAGTAAAACGATTTCAGGTGAAAATTTACCTGCACACAGTCATTACATAGATTTAAGTACATCTCAAGCAGGTTGGCATAAGCATAGATATTGGGATTGGTCAGGAATGACAAAAGGTAAAGGATATGATGTTAAAGACGACGTTAAGTTTGCTATAAATTGTTACTGGAGTGACACTCAGGGAGAAGGAAACCATACACATCGCGTTTCAGGATATACGCAAACAACGGGACAAAGTAAAGAATACATGCCACCTTACATGACAGTTTACGCATGGTATAGAATTGCTTAGTCGTCATTTTCAACTTCTTTAGCATATTCGTCAGGAGTTGTCTTATATTTGTTAGGAACTGTCTTTGAAAGTATACCACCTTGAACTTTGACAAGTTTGAAACGAGGTCTGACAATAGTAGTTTTATCTTCTGCTTGCAGTGTGTACATTTTGCCATGTTTGCCTAAAACTTCATAATATTCTCTTGTATACTTTCTTCTATTTTTACGAACACGAATGTGAGTACCTGTCGGGTTCCCATTGTTGTCATAGTCAATAGTATTTTCATATGGGTCGCGTTTAGGTATTTCTATTTTTACTTTGTCACCTTTCTGAAGTTTGAAGCCCGGCATTCTTTCTTGTTTGTCTCTTTTGACTAAATTATTAAATATATAGTCTTTCTCTAAGTCAGGGTTGTTTTTCATTTCTTCGGGGAGTGGTTTCCCAAACCTTTTTGTTTACGGTTATTGTAAATATTTAAAACTTGTCTCATCTTTGCCATGGAGAAGTGTCTATACTTGTCGTCATATGACATTTCATTTGCTTCACCACCTTGTGGTTGGTTTAAGTCTCTTAACATTTTTATACATCCGTCAATGACACCAAGAGCAGAATGGTTTTGGTCGACAATGAAATATTGGTTTACATTTTTTGAACGCAGATAGTTTTTTACATCATCTGATTTGAAAGAACTTTCACAGTCAGATGTCAGTTTTGTTGGATGGTATTTGTCAACGAATATTGTCAAAGCAGTTTTTACATCTAAAATATTTTTGGACCATAATGGTATGGCTTCACAGTATCTTGTGTTTTGACCAACAAATATTAACCAGTATGGAGTCCATCTGTTCTAACTCTCGGAATGTTTTCCAAGATATCCATAAACCAAGCATTTGGTGTTGAACTAAAGATTTTTATCATGAGTGCTTTCTTTGTTGCCTTAGAAACATAGGGGTCCTTGTTTGGATTCGTCATTTTTTAACCCATAAGAAATGGGTTTATTTGGCGCATTAGCAGGAGTTGCATCCAGATTTTTGCCCGCAGTGGGAACAATAGCTAGAGGTGTATTTGGAGTTGGAAGGAAGATTTTGAGTACATTAGGTATACTGAAAGAGAAAGCACAACCTATTATACAAACTGTACAGAAAGGTTGGGATGTAGCACGAGATGCAACAAATCTTATTCCAAATCCTGAAACAAGAGGAAAAGTTCAAGGATGGATGGACAATGTAGGAAGACAAGCAGGAAACTATTATAACAAAGCAAATGACTACTATAACCAAGCAGGACACTATATGGACCAAGGTGAAAGATTCTTTAACAGAGGATATAACCATGCACAACAGTGGTAAACAATAACCAACCTCAACCGCCTCAAACGTGGGGAATGTAAAATTTTTTACTGAGATGAAATGAACAATACAGCATTGAGACAAATGGTTCAAGATGGATTTGTCGACTTCCAGCAGTTACACCACGTGTTTGTCAAGTTCTTCCTATACCTCAGGAAGTTTTAGACCGACTTAAAAAACCTAAACAACCAGTTGAAAACAAACCAAACTAAAATTTTTTACTGAGATGAAATGACCGAAGAAGTTGAAACCGTAGATTTGACACCACAAACAAAAAGTTCAGAACCATTGTCAAAACCTGTCAAAGAACTTACAGATGAAGAGAAAAATTCCATAATAGAAAGTGCCAGGTCTGGAAATGCAAACCCTAACTATAAAGTCACTTTTCATAGAAATGGAACGGCTAGTATCTCAAAAAAGAAACAGACTCTCACAAATAAAATATTGAAGTCTGAAGGAGCTTTCGAGACAACAGATGGAAAAGTTTACTTCACTGACCAACAGTTCATTATAGAACATCTCATTGACTTAGAGTCGAAATATTCTAAACTTTACAACAAACACAAAAAGTTGAAAGGAAAACAAAAACAAATGGCATATGATATTTATGAAGATGTTGACAACACAACTGTTCCTGCAAGTGAAGTAAAGTCAGAGGAACCGAAAAGTGACGAAAAACCGATAGAAGAAGAAAAACCAAAAACTGAAGATAAACCAAAACCAAAGTTTAGTTTGGAAACTAAACCAAGTCAACCTTCATTAGCTGGTATGGGTTGGCGTCAAAGACTTATGGCAGCAGGCGGTTATGTAAAGTAAAGAAAAAACATTTTTTTATTTTTATAAAAATGCCCCATATAGAATGGATAGAAAGTCTGCTAGAATAAAAGCAGAGTTACAAAGATATGGTTGGAGAGTTTCGAAGAATTTTAAATATAGGAAGGGAAGACCCATAAAAGTCTATGACAAATTGTCTGGTCTTCGCTACGAAATGGATTTGGAAACAGCACATGCCAATTATCCAAACAGACTAGAGAGGTTAGAAGAAGAACGTCTTATGAACATGCCTTTCGATGTGTTAAACATTGCATGAAATAAAAAATTTATTTTTAAAAAAGTGACATTTTTTTTATTTTATTTGAAATGTACGCTGAGTTTGTTGGAGAAGACCGTTGGGAAACTTGTTTGTTAGATGAGAAATATGAAATTCACTGTTGTGAGTCATTTGAAGTCAGAAACAAAAAGACAAAAAGAGTTTTAAGCGAACGGGAGCGAAATAACGGATATGCTATTATGAAGATGGGTGGAAAACACTATCTTAAACATGTTGTCATTGCAACTCATTTTATACTGAATCCTAACAATTTACCTTTTGTAGACCATATAAACCGTATAAGAAACGACAATAGACTTGAAAACTTACGTTGGGTCACTTGTTCTGAAAACAATAAGAACAAAGGCAAATTTGGAGATATTGTATTCGAATTTGTCGACGAACTAGACGATGAAACAATTGAAATTACAGACTATGGCAAGCATACGTTTGAGTTTTACTACTATAGCGAAGAACAAGACTCTTTCTACTTTTATACCGGCGTAAACTATAGGAAATTACAAGTATATTTTACTAAGGCGGGCTATGCTTATGTAAACACTAGAGATACAGATGGAAAAAACGTTCAAATACTTCTTAACAAATTCAAGAAGCTATATGGCATACCATTTTAAAACAATATATTTTTACATATATTAAATGCTTCAGGTTGAAAAACAAAGAACAAAAGTAGCAGATACAAAACCGTTAGACTATATCTTTACAAATGCTGGTAGGACAATATCAGATGAAGAAATTTCATCCCGAGCATACAGGTTTGACTATCCAATTCGTTGGCTTCAAAGTCCTTCAGATGCAAAGGCAATAGGATTTAGAAGAGTTTTGTTTTCAAATAGAACTAACGCATTTATGTTCGCAGTATATTTTCATGGGCAGTATAAAGGTTCTGATGGTCTAATAGACAAATTTGACGAAATGAGAATCTTTACAGTTCGTTCAGACGAAAGTCTTGAGAAAACTCTAAATGACTTTCAAACTCAAATGAACAAATATTATTGGGAATTTCAAAAAAAATACCACTCTTTACTAAATGGAACATACTATCTGAAACTAGAATATGACAAGATGAACTCCACCGTTTCATTTCAAAAGATTGAAATTAACCCTCCAAGAGATACAGAGTTTTTATTTTGGGAAGTAGACAAACGTTCTTGGGCACAATTTCTTCGGTTACTAAACCAGAACGAACCATTACCACCAGATGGTCCATTTAAATTTATACTTCCACCAGCAGATTTGACAGTTTATAGAAACGTGTTTGACCCTCAAAATGTTATGTGTCATGCAAGTTTCAGTTCAAGCAACAATAGTTTTCTATGTATTGGTAAGGACTTTTATGACTTTGCTTCTAAATTCTACGAACCATCTAGTAACAGTTTCTCTGACTTTCAAGTTTGGTTCACAACAAATGGTGTGCAACATATTATTCCATTGTACTATGACTTTTATCTCGAATTGTCTTTCATATATAACTACGGAAAAGTGCTGAAAAAGTATTGAAAAATAATGTTTATGTTAGCATGTTAGATCTAACCTCTTTTCTAACCTCTTTTCTACCCTCTTGAATTTTCATGAAAACAATTTATTTTTGACACTTTCACAAAAAACATAAAAAAGTGAAGTTAAACGTTAAGGTTTACTGAACTGGTTGGATGTCGCCTTCACAGGTTATGTAGAATGGTTGACCAGAGAAGTGGAACAGTGCTCTGAGAATTTGTATAATTCGTGGAATTGGACTCTCTCTGTTTGGAAGTTGTATCCATGGGCGCTTTGCAAAGAACTTTATAATGGCTTCCTTCTTTGCTTGCTTTATGTCGTCTACAGGAGTGTTTTCTGGTACCTCAATTGGAATTCCAGTCGAAATCTCGAGATTCAAGGCAGCCCTTCCAGAAATAGTGGTAAACTTGACCTTGGGCTTCATGACCTTGCGCAAGTAGTCTTTAACAAGCTCGTTAATTTCAATTAGGTAAATTGCCTCGTCGGTAGGTTCGACCTCGACCATTGCTACTGTCAGTAAAAGTACTGCTACTGTCAGAAAAAGTACTGCTACTGTCAGAAAAAGTACTGCTACTGTCAGTAAAAGTACTGCTACTGTCAGTAAAAGTACTGCTACGAGCAGTAAAAGTACTGCTACGAGCAGTAAAAAGGAAAATTTGAGAGGGTTTTCGACGATAAAGTACTGCTACTGTCAGAAAAAGTACTGCTACTGTCAGTAAAAGTACTGCTACTGTCAGAAAAAGTACTGCTACTGTCAGAAAAAGTACTGCTACTGACAGTAGCAGTACTGCTAGGAGCAGAGATTTTTATCGTTGTGGTCCGACGGTTAAGCCACAAACGAATGTCCCACGTCCCACCAACCGAGTCCATTCCCAAACCAGAGGAACCTAAAGAACCAGCCCCTGCACCTCAGTTCCAGCAAGTCCCTCCACCAAATTACTACCAATTTCCACCTCAAGGTTACTACCAATTTCCACTACAAGGCTTCCCGAACTACCCTCCTCAGCCTATGCCTTACTTCCCCAACCCTTGGATGTTCCAGCAATTCCAATCTCAATACAAATCGAAGAGAGACCAAGAGTTCGAAGAAGGTCTGAACCGTTTACGCAAAGATTATGCTACAGCTCCAATTGAGAGAAAGTTGTTCCCGGACCAAAAATATAATTTAGGTGAAGAGGTGAGATCTCACCCGTTTTCTCACCTCTTTTCTCACCTCATGAATTTGTCATGATTTCATCGTAAACTAAACGTAAATGTTTTGTCAAGAATATAGCAACCGCCGGAATTCCGACGGTTGGTTTTTATACAAAATTCATGCGGGAAATTCTTGAGTTTTGGTTGAAAGAATACGGTGGAGCCAAAAGTGGCTCGACCTCAAAACAAGCATTTTATGAGCTTACAAAGGGTGTTATGAATGAATTCAGCAACATACATCCTGACCTCGTTCATTTTGTTGCTAAATTCAGTAAAAATATAATTTAGGTGAAGAGGTGCGATCTCACCTCTTTTTTCACCTGTTTTCTCACCTCATGAATTTGTCAAGACTTCTTCGTAAATGTTTTGTCAAACATGAACGTAATGAGCGTAAATCAGACAAAAATATAATTTAGGTGAAGAGGTGAGATCTCACCCGTTTTCTCACCTCTTTTTTCACCCTCTTGAATTTTCATGAATTTTCCCGAAATAAAAAATAAAGTTAGTTTTATTTTTATTTATTTTTTTTATTTTGTATAAAAGATATGATTTCAACAATCGGCACAACAGCAATACAAACAACAACTTCACCAAACTCGTTAGTTATGAATCCAACATCTATGTTGGTAGAGATGAAAAGCTTCATTCCTTCTTCATATACTTTCGAAACAGAAATCCAGAAGATAAAGCAGGAACTGTTAACAGGTAGTTTAGACTGTAGTGCGAAAGATGAAACAAATGAACAGTATCTTTATGACATGCAGGACATTATTGACCATTTACCTAAACTACCTGAAATTCAGCAGCAAAAACTAACTATTCCTGAATTCGACGAAATTGAAGTCAAAGCAACTGACTCAGTAGAAATAAAGAAGTTCATACGTAAGGTAAACTATGAATTCCTTGGTTTTCATTGCAACCATAAGGTTATGGACAAAGATTGCGACATGGTATATAAGAACATCTCTGACATATATAAATCCGGGGAGTTTAAGACCTACGACAACTTTGTTTCATTAGCTGCAAAATGTGTTTGGGAAATAAGAGATAAAGATAGAAGAGGTAAGGTATGGAACGAACAACTAAGACCCGCTATGTTTGAGTTAAAGAAAACCATTGACGCCTTAGTTGTTTTAGCAGGTAAGGTTTCAGAATATAACGCAAAGTTGAACCCACAATGTTCTAAATGTAAAGCAGCAATGAGGAAATATAACTACTCCGTCAAAGAGATAGAACGTATGAGAAACGACTATGCAGACTTAAAGAAAGAAGCAGAAAAGCCAGCAGAAGATAAAATGAACATGTTAGAATTTCTGAACAAAAACTATCCAACAGCAGAAGATTTCCTTCTATCTGACGTCAAGAAGAAGTATAAAGAAACTTTCGGCATTGTTAAAACATTCGATGTACTGACAGAAGAAATAGAAGCTACGAAATTGTTTAGGATTTCAAATATACATCGTACAATTCATGTAAAACGCTTATAAAATAACAGGTGAGAAAACGGGTGAGAAAACGGGTGAGATCTCACCTCTTCACCTAAACATTATTTTTATTGAATTCAGCAACAAAATTCTGAGTAAAATAATTTTTAGGGCATGTGTCAAACCGTTGAGTTTTCACAAAATTTAAAAAATAACGTTTACCATGTAAAACGCTTATAAAATAACAGGTGAGAAAACAGGTGAGATCTCACCTCTTCACCTAAACATTATTTTTACTGAAAAATGACCAAAATTCTGAGTAAAATGGCATAAGATTGCTTCCCTCGGAAAACCGAGAGAAGAGATTCCGTATGAAAATCGTGAAATTTCTCTAGACCGACTTTTACCGGCCTAGCCTAAAACTCATGAAAATCGTGAAGAACAGCGACCCCGGTAAAATCCGGGCTCGCCTAAAACTCATGAAAATCGTGAAGAACAGCGAGTAGGGAAAAATCCGTAGTCGCCTAAAACTCATGAAAATCGTGAATTTCCTTAAGATAGAAAAAATAAAGTTAGTTTTATTTTTTTTATTTTTTTATTTTGTATGTAAGAACAGAAAATGACAAACATTGAGTTTGAAACAGTTAGAAAGATAGACAATGACACCAAAGTGGTTAGAATAGGTGATTTAAACGTAAGATACTCAAAGAAATACAACAAATATTCTTTGTCAGACATTCTGACACCATCTGAAAAGAAAACAAAGGACTGGGTTAGAAATGCTTCAACTCAGAAAATTTTGACAAGAAATCCTGAGCTTATGATATCGGTAAGATTCTATGGAACAAGAACATATCTTATAGACAAAAGTCTTATACCAATAGTTTTGTTATGGTTAGACCCAGTTGTTGGATATAACTTCATAACATATGGTTTATTCGACTCAGAACGTTGCAGTGAAGGCTTACTTTACATCGTTCAGAAACCGAAGGACTTCAATACAAAGAGATATAAGATAGGAAGGACATATAATATAACTCTAAGATATGACAGTACAGTCAATAGAGTCAAGGTTGTGTTTGTTAATGATATGAGAGCTGCAGAAACAGAACTACTTGAAAAGTTTGAGAAAATGTATGGTGCTCCCACGAAAGGTAAAGAAACGTTTGAAGTAGATGAGATAGATAAAGCTATAAAATTATTTGACGAAGTTGCTGAAAAATACATGTAAAGCGTTTATTTTTGGTCTTTTGTGAAAGATAGAAAAAATAAAGTTAGTTTTTATTTTTTTTATTTTTTTATTTTGTATGTAAAGACAGATATGTCAACAACAGAGAACACAACAACTGCTATCGTTCATGAAGCTATAAATGAAGAATATGAGTACATACAGTATAACAAACAGTTACGTCTCATTCGTTCAGTCAAAGACGATATGTACCAAATGCAAAGTATTTTGACAGCATGTTTTGCTCCAGATACTAAGAAACCACAAGACTGGTTTAGGAACCAAAGCACTATTGAACTATTAAATGAAGCTGAAAATTCGACTACGGATTTTTCCGTAGTCGCCAAAACTCATGAAAATCGTGAAGAACAGCGAGTAGGGAAAAAGTCGGCCTTGCCTAAAACTCATGAAAACAGTGAAGAACAGCGAGTGGGAGAAAAACCCCAGTCGCCAAAACTCTATGAAAATCGTGAAAAATTGCCAAACGGTTTGAGAGGATATTATGTACATAGACTTCTTGTAAATGCTGTTGCAATGTGGGCTTCGCCTCGTTATGCTTGGTATATTTACAGACTTCTTGACGAAATTCATAGACAAGAACGTGAAGAGATGGAAAAGAAACTTCATGCAAAGATGAAGTCATTGAAGCAAAAGACAAAAGCATTCAGAAAAGAATACCACGTTCGGTACCAAAAGGAAAGGAAAAGAACTATAAGTATATTTTATTACTGAAGAGATGGAAAATGAAGAAGACAGAGATATGGTTATGTTGCATTTAGTCAGAAGAAACAACAAAAGCTTTTACGACCTTGCTAAGATTTACAAATCTGACAGAAATTGGTTCTATCGCGAAAACTTACCGATTTCAATGACCCCAAATGAAGATGTGAAACAAATAGTTCAAGATACGTTACCTCAAACACACTATGATATTAAAGGTTGTACAATACTTACCTTCAAAGAAGACTTACCGCTACTGAAAGAAAAAATAACAGAGTATTTTGACAACTTCAAACAAGCAGAGTAAATTGCACTCTTTATTTTTACGCTTGACTTTTTACAATTTGAACTTTGTTTGCGTAGATATGAATTCTGAAAGAAGTATGAGGGTCTTGTATGACTTTGTACTTCTCCATAGTTCATGTCTGTCAAACTTACCTGCCATGGACTCTTTCATAAGTTCCATGAAATCGTCTTCGGACAATCCGGGGAAAAGTATTATGTCAGTAAGTATTCTCTTTACATCCTTACTTAAACTCTTTGCTGTCTGTACACATATTACGACTGAGATGTTAAAGTGTCTGAGCTTCTTAAGAATTCGACACATATCTTGTTCTCTGTTCTTTAACAAAGGATGAGAGGCGAAATCATCTAAGATAAGAAGACATCTATGAGGGTAAGTCTTCCAATCGTAAGATTGCAATTTCTTCGAAATGTATTCTATCTCTTTCTGTTTGTTTCTGAAGTGTTTCTTCTCTAATATTCTCTGCATTTCCTCATTTGGGTCTTTAAACTTCGAATTTATATACTCATTTATAGCATTGTACTTCAAAACTCTTCTTTGGTACTTCTTTATCCAATCTAACAACTCAGTATCCTTTATACATACTAACTTAGACTTCTTTATAATATCTTTGAACGAATTGACGGTTTGGTCAAATTGACCAGAAGTACTACAAATAACAACTAACTCATAGAATGGGTTCTTCTCATCTAGTTCTTGTTGTTGTGCAGCCATTTTAAGATAAGTGAAAGTCTTACCCGACCCAGGTGGTGCAATTAGACCTGTTATACCATTCTGAGCAAATAAGAACTTTTCATGTATAGGCTTTATCTGAGCATTTTCTAACTTCCTCTTGTTCTTGTTTAAAACATTCTCAAATTTCTTGTCAATGTCAGCAAACTTTTTTTCTAACATATTTTTTAGAAAAATTAAAAATTTTTATCTTTTAGAAAATGTCTAGCGATTTCGCTATCTATATTCGAGACAAACTTTTTGACAGCAAAACATTCTGTCGACCATAAATCTTACATAGTGTAAACAAGAAAGGTGAATTTGTTCTAAAGTTCTGTTTCTGGGAATATGACAAGAACCATAAAACATTAAGCAGAGAAGTCTTAAAATTTGTCAATGACAGACTTGTTGACAGAGATGACGCCTCTTGGAGAGATGAAGTCCAACAAAACTTCTTAGAATGCAAAGAAGACACATGCGCTGTTCTTGAAGATGAAATAAAAAACAGAATAGATGAGCTATTAAAGGACAAAGAACTTTTACATAAATATGGTTGCGCCAAATTTGACATAACTCCACCAGAAAAGAAGAAGAGAGAAAAGAAAGAGAAAAAAGTAGAAGAAGAGAAGAAAGAACCTGAACCAGTTCCAGAGAAAAAGAAATTTGACATGTAAAAATAAAATTTTATTTTTAGAACATTTCTGGGTCAATGTCAATGTTCTCTTCCTCTTTAGGGGCAAACACTGGCTTAGACTCTAAAATCTTTTTACCCAATTTACCTTGAACTTCAACTATCTTAGACTCATAATATTCATAGTCGTCTGCTTTCTTTGGTTCATAAGGTATAACAAGTTTGTATGCTTTGCCTTCTTTAAGGTTTGAGAACCTTCTGTCAAAACTTTCTTTGACTGCTAACAAACCTTCTATGTCTAAGTCTTCAAATTTCGCACCATTTTTAGTCACAATAGCAAACTTAACTGGTTCGATGTTCCAAACTTTGCTGAATGAAGACTTTTCAAAATGGTAGAAGTAAACATTCAAATATGTGAATGGGTCTAGTTCTTCTTTAAGTCCTGACATGTACTTGTTTACTGAAATATATTTCGTCATCTTTTCTATCGGATAAAAAAAATTTTTTTTAAAATTTACTCAGAAAAAATTTTCTTTGTATATACACCATTCTGAACATCTAAAAGACTTTTGACATTTGCCAAGAATGTACGTTTAGAAGCTGCCATATAACCATATTCTTGACAATATTGTTTATACGAATCGTACAATGACCTTTCATCTAATGACACAAAGTCAGTTTCATCTATGAACAGTTCATATACACTCTTATTTGCTTCTAACAATGTTTGTCTCTCTTCGGTATGTGGAATTTGTCTTGGATTGAACTTAGAAATATCTAATGTCATGAAATATGAGAACAAGTGGTTGTAAAAGTCAGATGTCAAAGTTTCTGCTAAGTCGTCAAAATATTCTGTATCTTGCATATGAGAATCTGACGTTCTGACAACTACATATCTTCTGTCAGAACTTTCTAACTTCATCGGAACAACATTGTTTGAAACCATAATGAAGTTTGCAACATTTTCACAAACTCTTTGGTCTTTATACTTTCTTTCAACAACTCCAACTTTGTCTGTTATAAGACTCTTCAAAGCATCTGAGTTTAAAACTTTTGTTGTATCTATACTTTGAAGTTCATTGCAAACTATAAGTTTCATATTCTCAATTGAAGAGTTAAATTTACCGCAGATGTTTTCTAAGTTTGTCATATTAGGGTTCGAATAACCTTCTAACAGTTTGCATAAGATATCTGTAAAGAATGTGTTCTTACCTGTTCCTTGTTTTCCAATTATAATGAGAGCAGTTTCATTTTTAGCACTTGGATGTTGTAAGATGTTTGCAAACCAACATAAGATATACTCATAAACCTTTTCGTTTCCATTGCATATAATTTCTTTGACATGGTCTAACCAAGCTTCTATAACATTTTCTTTCCATTCTACTTGTTCATATTTATATCCAGTGAAGATAGAATAGAAGTTTGGAGAAGGTGTATAAAACTTTATACCACGAACTGAAAAATCTTCAAGTTTTGACAATAAGATATCCCAAGCATCTAACATCTTCATGCCAACTTGTACGACTTTTATTTTCTTAAGTTTTTGTCTACATTCTTGTTCAGACACTATTGTTGCTCTTGGTTTGTTAAAGACAACATCCCATTCTTTCATAACATAACATTCTGGGGCAGAGTCAACATAAATGACTAAACGTTTCAAATTCTCGACTGCTTTGTTATAGTCTCTAAATGGACACATATTTCTGAATGCTTGGAAGTCATAAAAATCTGAAACATCTATTCTGTACATTTTTATAAAAATAAAAAAATAATATTTTTTTATTCTTGACTTTGTTGTTCCATTTGTTGCATTTGTTGTTCTTGAGCTATTTGTTGTTGAAGTTGTTCTTGTAATACAATACTTTCACCAGTTGCATCTTCCAATTCGAAACTTTCTGCCGTCATTGACAAATACATAGGACATAAAAGTTTTACAGGAACAAAGTTTGCGTCAACTAATGTCAACGTTATACTTGCCAAAGTGTTTGAGTTCACTAAGGTTGAAAATTCTGCATTCGAATGAACAATAGGCAAACCAGCAGAGAAAGTATTGTTTATACGCATAAGTATCTTTTGGTCATAATAGTTTTGTCGACATTCGAATAACACTTTGAACCTAAGTTTGAAACAATATATAAGATTGGTGTGCTTAATGTCAATGGAATAGACATTCCTTGTATGACACCTTTTCCTGTTATAGGAAACTGTTGGTAGTAAAAACCAGAAATAAGTTTTGTATTATAGCTCATATCGTTTATAGTAAACTCAGTCGGACATCCAAACATAATGAAACCTGCTCTAGTTGCAGCACATGTTACACCCGTACTTAAAGTATTAAATAAGTCAACAAAACCTGTTTGGTGGTATATCTGAGTAAGTATCTTCAAAGGAGTATTTTTTTACCATTCACAACAATAAAGTCTTCTGGTGTCAAAAGAGCAAAACAGGCTTTAGTCGTCATTGTTTTTAAGGTTAGTTTACAATATCGTCCTTGAGGACTTTGTAAGTTTGTTGTTATAGAATTATATGACTCAGGGTTTTTAGTCGTAATAGTATAAACCATTATGTCTTCTGCCATTTACTTAGCAAATAAATTTTAATGAAATGTTGTGGTCGTCAAATATTTTTATAACGTCTGGGAAACTATATTTTAAGTTCAACGTTTCACCTCCTTTCATAACGTATATCTTGTCAATGACATTATATGAAACACACAGCAACTAATGTCGGGTTTATTTCTTTGATGTTTATATCGTCTGCCTCTGTCAAAAGTTTCAATAGTTCTTTCAAAACTTCATGAGGTGCAATGACATATGAGTTCACTTTTACAGGGTTGTGTTCGACCAAGTTTAACATTATACTTAAAGCTTGACAAATCTTCTCCTGAGTTTGAAGTTTGTCTTTCAGTTGTTGGTAGTCGTTTCGAATATCTGCAACAGAACTTAAGTCTCTGCTAACTTCAGGATATGTTGGTTCTTTTACAGGAACAATTGTTATACCATCTTCGTCTTCGTATGGTTTCCCCACTTCAACATCTCTGTCTTTGACATTGACAATAACACTTTGACTGTTTGTTTGAGTTGGTGAATTTAACTTCACATCTGCCACCGCCATTAAACCTTTTGAAACACTTACGCTTCTATTTTTCGGAAATGACATTTTACTTAGAATAAAAAGATGGACGTATTCGGATATCTTATTGAATTGAAGCAGAACAAAGTTTATACTCACAAACAATACAAATACATTGACAGAATAGTTCTTTACACAAACAATGGAAAATGTTATAGAATAGCAGTCTTTGCTGAACCTAAATATTTTCATAAAGCAAAGAAAGTTGGTATAACTGAAATGGTGAAAGTTCTTGAAGCAGACAAAATATAACTTCAAAACTTACAGATATTACTAAAGGAAAGTTTATAATACAATATTATGTCAAAACTGGCGTACTGTCAATATTTGACGGAGAGAAGTCAGTTCAAGAACAACTTACTGACCTGCTGCCAAAATCTGCTCGATGGAAGCTGTCGTTATACCAATCTGAGGAGCCCCAGCAGGTTTCATCGAACGAATCTTCAAAAGAGCATCTTCCGTGAAAAGTGCTATTGGTTTTGTAAACTTCTTTGCTCTCAATTCATCTGGACCGTCTCTGTCACCAGTATATTGTATTTGTACAGTACCAACAGTTGAAATACCACCCATAAAGTCTTCTGAGTCAGCAAATGGAATGCCAAGCCAAAAGTTTGAACGGTCTCCATTTGTATATTGAGTTTTTTGACTTCCTGTATGAGTCCATACTTTCACATATGGCATAATAGAACTTTGCATTTCAGGGTTAATGGTTGTTGTGAAGTTGTTGTTAAAGTTCATAGCATCTAATGTCAAGTTGTATGACCTCATATCCTCAACTGTAGAATATTCTTCTCTTGGATAATATTTGCCATCTATGTTTATATGATATTTAATACCAGGGTTGTAGAAACAAGAATAGTCATTTATAGTTCGTCTGAACAGTACAAACAGAGTATCTGCATGTTTCATTGCAGTTGTTAAAGCAATATCTGTTCTTGCACCTGGGTCAGCACTTTGGTTTCCAACTTCACCTGCAAAGTCTTTGACAGATATTTGGTGTATAGGGAACATAAGTGGAACTGCAATATATTTGGCAGCTAAAGCATTTGAAATATCTGGGTCCAACATATAGACTGCAAGTCTGCTTTCTATTCTCTTGCATTCAAATTTTTCACATGTGAACTTAACTGGGTCCCAAGCAGTTCCAGCAGCATTGAAATAATAGTTTACTTCAGTGTTGAAGTTTGAGAAACCAAAGTCTAAGTCAACTTTGTCTTTGCAATATTCGGCGAATGACGTTTTATTTGTTCCCGTTACGTCTGTAAGAGTGAATGGGTCTTGTGTTGGTGCAATGACTAAGTTATTTTTGCTTGGAGTAAGTTCGATAGAAATTTTTCCTGCCCAGTTTGGCAAGTATCTTAAAAACCTGAAGATGAGGAAAGATGACAAAGGAACTCTAAGTTTCAGTTTTACTTTGGTTACTGCTGCTGCAGTTTGTCCAGAAAGGTCAACATAAACTCCTGGAACGTTAGGGTCAAGTCTTCTTATTTTCTCAATAGTTGCATACTGGTCTGTTTGTTCTCTAGCTTGTGGTTGTACTGAGTTTCTCAAAGCGAACCATTCATAGTTTGCCCATGTTACTGTTTGAACTAAGTCAGAGTTAGAATATATCTTATATCCCATGAAAACTTCTGGAGCATATTGGTATCCGACATAGAAAATTCCATTGCAACCTTTCTTGTCAGACAACTTGGCAGAAGGTTTTATTTCAATGTCTTGTTCCACGTATAAGAATGAGTTGTCAATAGAAATAATATGAAACCTGTCGCAAGCAATATCTACTGTTGTTGAAGAACCTTCTCCAAACTCACCTACGTTTCCATAAGAAACAGCAGTTGTATATTCGTAAGTTCCAGGAACTATTTCTGACCTTCTAATGGCATTGTCGCATTCGTTATACCATTCGGAAACATTTCCGTTCATGGCATCCAAAACTATTGGCGTTATATTCTGAGCGGCGTACATTTCATATGGGTAAAAATATATAATAGTTGGATTTATATGTCATAATTGTTTCGGACCAAGCTTTACTTTCTTCCTGACTGAGTTTTGTTGCATCTTTGCCTCATGTTCACCTAGTATGTTGTAAATTTCCCATGTCCTTTTTGCCTTTGGGCTCTGGTCGCCCATCTCAGGTAACCTATATCCTAGAAAGATTTTGTCATAGTTTGTATTTGAGTCTTCGCGTATTGTTTGCATGACTCTTTCCTGAGTTTCCGGTTCAAGCTCTTCAAACAGAGCTTGTCCATATGGAATAAGCTCGTTTCCAAATATATGTTTTTGTAGCCATTCTGGTTTTCTTTCCATGTAACCAATAATATCTTTTGTGAATGGGAAAGCTTTTACCCAATGTTCCAGTCTTGCGTCATTTATTTCTGTAGTTGGTTTTATTTTGTCAAGGAACATGTTTTTCAATACTAACATTTCATTTGGTACTGTCCATTTGAGTTTTCTTAAATATTCATCCCTTCTCGATTCATTGTCTGCAAAGTAAGTTTTTATGACATTTTGCAAACTTTCGTTTGCAAGGTCATGTACAATAGGTTCTCTTCCTTCTTTCTCCCTAACTTTCTTTCTAAACTCTTCACCAAATATACCATCTCTATGGTTCTGTGTAGTTCTTTGAGATAAATGTTCTAGAACGTCAGGTGTTATATTTCCATCAGCCATGTTCATTTCATACTGGTCCAAAATATCTGCATGTTTCATATCTTTCAATGGCATTAAAGCCGCGCTGAAAATACCAGCTATATCTGGTTCACTATTCGCTTCCATTGCGTCTACAACTTCTTGGAATTGTGGTTGTAAGTTTATGAACCACCTATCCGGATTAGCTTTATGACCCCATCTCATTGTAGTTCCATAGTCTGCAGAAACAAAAGTAGGTTTGTTTCCATATTTGTTAGGTTCTGAATGAACTTTAAACAATGTTTCATTTCTATATGTTTTGTTGAAATTTAACCTTTTATTTTCACCGAGTTCATCCAAAGATTGAACGTTATATGCTCGTAAGTAAAAAGGATTGTTGTATTTGTGTACATTATCTTTCAGTACTTCCATTCTATGCTGGATATTTTCATCTGATGTTGGAGTCTTTTGTATGTCGGCGAACATTTTTCGATATTCTTCTACTATGTCAGCCGAATTTTTCTTAGACTCTTGGAAAGATTCCATATTCTCCGCATACACTTGTTGAGGGTCAAGATTTTTCGGCTGTTCCAAATCTTCATCTAGTTCTGTGAAGTTAGTTTCCAAAGGAGGGACTTGTTCGTTTCCTTCAGGCTCTTCTAGCTGTTGTTGCTGAACTATTTCTTCCATGTCTGGTTGTATCTGAACTTCTTCCTGTGGAGTTTCTTGTACCTCATCTGCTGGCATTTCATATATTCCGAGACCGTTTTTAACAAATTCCCTTTCTAAGTCATCCGCATTCATAACCCTTTCTTCTTTCGTTCCGTCTCTATTTTTTACACGTTTCATGAAGAGAGTTGAATTATCATTTAGCTCTGACACCAAATATCTCGGAGTAAATTCATTCATGTCATTTGGATGATATGCTATTAAATCATATCCCTTAGCGAGCTTGTATTTTCCAGGTTTGAAATTATATCCCATTTGGTGCTGAACCATAAAGCTAAATAGGTTCGGGTCAGTATTTCCTTCCTTGAACTTTCTAATAGCTTCTTTATATCTGTCACTAAAGTCAAGAGTATCTGGGTAACCATAACCTTCCTTAAGCATTTTTAAGAATTCTTGGTTTCCTTGTTCTGTACTTCTTTTATGTCCTTGCTCTGGTTGTGGTTGTTGTTGTGCTGGTTGTGGAGGTGGTTGTTGTGCTGGTTGTGGAGGTGGTTGTTGTGCAGGGTTTTGAATTGTTGGTTGTTGTTGTGGTGCTGGATTTTGAATTGTTGGTTGTTGTTGTGGTGCTGGATTTTGAATTGTTGGTTGTTGTTGTGGTGCTGGATTTTGAATTGTTGGTTGTTGTTGTTGTGGTGCATGCCTGCGTCTGTGTCCATGTGACGATGTAAATGTTTTAGGTAGTCCTGCTGCAGGTGCTTCTCTTGAAGGGTTTGGTGGTATAAAAGTTCCACCAGCTGGTATATAAGTTCCACTAGCTAGTATATAAGTTCCACCAACTGGTATATAAGTTCCACCAGCTGGCACATATGTTCCATCTGCAGCATAATGTCCTACCTGACTTTTCGTTTTTAAGAAAGCATTTACTAGGTCTGTTTTGGTCTGTTGTAACTCTTTTTCTTGACTTTCCACAACAGTTGCTCTAACGGCGTCATAGGCACTTTGAACTGCCTGTCTCGTTGCTGCATCTGTTATTTTCGTCATATTTTGTGCTACTTCTCTTAACTCTTTGTCGAAACCTTCAGACTTCAGTTTCTTTCCAGATGAGAAGTCGTTCACTAGTTTCACCTTACTATGAAGAGCTTCGAAGGCATTCTTAAAGTCAGCATTCATTAAAGCTTCATTTGAACTGTCTTCATCCGCTTGTATTTTTGTCCTTATTGACCCTATAAGTTGGGCTGCTTTAGCGTTGGCTTGGGCATCTAACCAGTCATTATTAGCTTTTATATATTCTGCGCTTTTCATTGCCTTTTGCATGGCTGTGTCGTTATTTTTACTTTCTTGTGCTAAGTTTTCATACTGTACGGTTTGGTTTTGCAACTGTAAAAGTTTTTCTGCCTTTACATTTGCTTCAACTTCTTTTTTATACTCATCGCTATCCATATATGTCTTCAGGGCTTTTTGTTTTATCTCTTCATCTTTCAGTACTTTATATTGAGTAGTATGGTTTTTCAAATTTATAACATCTTGTTCCATTTTTGCTACTTCTGCTGCTTTTTCTGACACTTTTTTCGCGTATTCCTCTGTACTTAGTTCTTTCAGTTGTTCTTCTTTCTTCTTTTTCTCTACGTTTAACTCATTGAGTTTCTTTGTGTGTCTGTCATATTCTAGTTTCTTTTCGTTTTCACTTATTTGTTTCTGTATGTCTATGTTTGACTTTTTGACATCTGTTATTTGATTTTTGAGTGAACTCAAATTCATTTGACTTTGAGGGTTATAAGCTGTTCCGTCTGCAGCTCCACCATAGCCTGCCATTTTCGCTAAAAGTGCCGCTCTTAAACCTCCACTCTGTGCACCAATAACTCGGTTTAAAAGCATAGGGTTGCTTGACATTTGTTGCAACATAGTGGGGTCATTCATAATTTGTTGTTGCAACTGTTGTTGTGGTGTCAGTTTTACTATTGGATGTTTCAATGCTCCCTTCCTCTTACGTATATTCTTACGTAGCTTACGTGGCATTTTAAGTGAAGTAAAAAACGGTTTTTGACAGATGTTTATATGACACTTTTTGTTCAGCACAAAAAACTACTCGGTCAAAGTGTTGTCAGTTTTGTAAAATAACCGTCCTATCTCATTCTATAAGGGGGAAAAGGCTTCTCAAAGTATACTTCCTTGGAACGCCCGTAACTTAAAGCATAACAAAACATGTACGATGAAGAAGTCTTGACAAAACATGTACGATGAAGAAGTCTTGACAAAGCATGTACGAAGAAATCATGAAAATTCAAGAGGTGAGAAAACAGGTGAGAAAACAGGTGAGATCTCACCTCTTCACCTAAAATATATTTTTGGTCCTTTACACTCATTACGAAGAAGTCTTGACAAAACATGAAAACATATATAATTTGTGAAAAGTGAAACAAAAGGCTGGTCGGCTGGGGCTCCGGTCCTCCTCTTGGGTCTTGTGCAAAATTTCTTATGGGCTAGAAGGCACGAAGTGCCTGGAAGCCTTCCCAATAAAAACTTCATTTATACTAATCATCTTCAGGGCTAGAAGGCACGAAGTGCCTGGAAGCCCCACTACCTTTTTTTTTTTAATATACTTTCTTATCAAAGTTTATTCTCGATGTCTATTGAATTTGTTTTAAATTATTCGAATTAGTTAAGATATGAACATTTTTTGACTGCCAAATGATCAAATAATATATAATATTGTAAAATATTAAAGATAAATAGTTTGGCATACCAATATATGATAACATTTTTATTCAATTCATGGAAATTTGAAATGAGTAGGTGACAAAAGTGCATACTCTTAAATTAAGAGAAAGGGACAGACTAGCCCATTGTCACTTTTCAATTTAGCAAATGAACGCTTATGGAGTGGAGTTTTTGGGTAAATCTGATTTGCTTATAAATGAAATAAAATCAAAAGAAACCATATTGGCATTATATTATGCAAAAATAAATGATCTTACTTAGTACTTTTAAAGTTAATTTCAGAAAAAATTTGACACAATGGTATCCGGCACATACAAGTGGTGTACAACCAAAATATAAGTTGGTTTAAACATATATTGCTATATCTCATGATCTTACTTAGTACTTTTAAAGCTAATTTCAGAAAAAATTTGACACAATGGTATCCGGCACATACAAGTGGTGTACAACCAAAATATAAGTTGGTTTAAACATATATTGCTATATCTCATGATCTTACTTAGTACTTTTAAAGCTAATTTCAGAAAAAATTTGACACAATGGTATCCGGCACATACAAGTGGTGTACAACCAAAATTTCATATCCCTAGTTTTACATTTATGTTTAGTTTTATTTCACCTAATTTTCAAAGATCATAATTGAATTAGATGTTCAAGCTATTCAAAACACGACCAAGCTTATCAAAATAAGACCAATATATTCAAAATTCTTTATTCTTTCAAATCATTTCATTTTAATGCAGTTCCAAGATCACGAACTCACATATATCGAGTTGCTTAAGTATGGAGTGCAACAAGAAATCCAAGCAGGTTATAGTTATTCATATAAAACTAGGAAAGAAAGAAATCAAATCCAATTTAATTGTAAGTGGCCGAATTGTCCATGTCGCTTCCTTGTTGATACACTTCCCGATGACAAGTACCATATACGAAAATGTATTAACACCCACAATCATTCTGCCCCTTTTCCAAACAAATCACAACAAATTACATCATATTTTTATAGATCTTATTTAACAAGATATTTTGAATCAAATCAAGACCGTGTTTACGCACAATTAAGGTGTTTCAAAGATCTTAATATCCCATTTGATAGTGGGATCATTCCGGAAATGTTTCAACAATCTACAGATGCTTTAAAAAAGTTTTCTAAACGCCTTCAAGCAATCAATACCCGTTTCTCAGCGGATGATGTTACATCTCTTGCAATTTTTGTCGACATGGTTAAGAGTCATTCTCCAGATGATCTCATCGAGTTTATTCACGAGCCAGATCGTATGATTTTCTATTACGCCCCATTCGAAGCAAATGCTTTTTCACATCAAATACAAACTTATCACATTGATTCCACTTATAAGCTCTTGCGCTCTCGCATACCATTTTATGCCGTCACTGGCAAATTCGCGGAATCAATTGTTTTTCCGTTTTTGTATTTTTTCGTTTGGCCCGACACAAGTGAAAATATACAAGTTTGTCTCACAGCATATTTGGCTCCATCAATCGCGAACCATCTTATTTTTCAATGGACTGCGCACCTCAAATCACAAATGCTGTTGAAACAGCCATCCCCTTATGCCAGATCATTTGGTGTGGCGTTCATGTGTTGCGCGCTGTCATGAGAAAGGCTGAAAAGTTTCAAGATCGTTCCAACTTCGAAACTTTCTATAACTTAATGAAGTTATTGGTCTTTGGTTCTGAAGAGGAAGAAATTGATCCTGATGAAGTTTACAACAATTTAGAAGAAATTTTAAATGAGGAACCTGCTGCCCGTGAATACTTTGACCGACAGTGGCGCCATCATCTTGACAGGTGGATGCTTCGCTATAGAAATGAAGGAGATGGAACAAACAACATCTCGGAATCACATTTCAAGGTTTTGAAGCACCAGTACTTCCCAGAAAGGCGAAATCTTCGACTCGATGAACTTGTCATCGAGTTATATTCCAGTGTTGTTCCTTCATTCCTGATTAAGTTGCAAATTAAAGGTCTGGATTCAGAGAGAAGTGTTAAAGTTATCAAAAAAGTCACAAGAGATTTCGAAGAAATGACACAATTTAAAAAAGTCGAATGCATCAGTATGCTTGAAGCTGTTCAGAAAGGTCTGAAAAATGATACACTTGATCCCAACATTGTTTACTCAACATTAAAAATATTATTGCAAAGAAAACATTTGATTTAATAAACATTTAATTTATTATAATTAATTTTTTATTACAGTATAGTAAAAAATGCTATAAATAAATTATTATATTTTATTAAAATGTGACTTTTAATAGTAAGTGAATAAAATAAATCAGGAATTGGGAAAGAAATAAGGTTAATTAAAAATAATGAAAATTACAAGTTTAAGGTTAATGAAAAGTGACAATGAGCGAGTTTGTCCCCCACTCTTAAATTAACCTTAAATGTTGATTTTTCGATATTTTCGGTATTAACCTTATTGTAAATTTTTCCCGTGATAAATTTATCACACTGAGGTTATTTTTCCGGTGAGATTTTTAACCTTGATTTAATGAAATTAATATATATAAATTTTATTATTTTTAATTTCGAATGAGTATAATAAAATATTTTTATGTGTTTTTGTTTTTGATGTGATTTGAATTTTGTTAACTCTTTTCAAAATCACTTCATTTTTATGATTTCGGTGGACTTAGAGGAGCTTATTGCTTTTGGTATTAAACAGGAAGTCAAGGGCGGTGTCCCATACAGAAGAAGAACGGGATCTCCAAAGCAATATGTCACTTATTCATGTTCGTATCCCCTATGCAAGGCAAAATTTAGGGTTGAAGAACAAAATGGAGTGTTTACTATAAGCAAAGTTAATGAAGAACATTGCCATCATATAGGAGTTGAAATGGATTCACATTACGCGAGTAAATTTTATCAAAAATGGATCGAACTTTATATTAAAAACGGTGGAAAGCAATTTCTTGCTCAAAAAGCATTTTTTGATAAGTTCGGAATTGATACGAATAACAAAGAAACGATGAAACTTTTCGCGCAGTCTACTGATGCTTTAAAGCACAAATTTTATCGCCTTGATGAGATTATTGCACAAAGATTATCAAACGATCCTTACACTTCTTTGGAAGCATTTTTGAATAATTTACAGGAAGAGTGCCCAGATGATCTCGTTCAATTTGATTACAATGGAGATTTTTCCGAGTTTACAATCATATATGCACCTTTTGCTGCAAAAGAATTGGTGCATAGCATTGATAACCCTCTCCACGTCGATTCCACTCATTCTTTAATTAAAGGAAAGATCCAATTGTTTGCAGTAACAATGAAAACAAGTCAAAACACAATTTTCCCCTTTTGCTATTTTTTAGTGAACCCTCAGACATCTGAAAAAATTCAAGAATGTTTGGTGAAATTCTGTGAGTTTGCGCACCTGGATCCACAGCATTGGAGCGCTGACTGTGCGCTAAACATTGCTCGCGCAATTGAGGACGGATTTCCTCTTGCGCAGCTCAGTTGGTGCGCTGTGCATGTTTTACGCGCATGTGCAAAAGTTGGAAGCTATTTTGACAATCCACAGAATTTTGAGAACTTCTATTTAGCAATGGACTTTTTGACATTACGTGCAGATGCAACGAATGCAGAAAAGCTGGCTGAAGAGTCTGATGAAACATATGAGTTCTTGACAACAATGTTAGAAGAAGAAGAACCGCGCGCTTTGAAGTATTTCGATAAACAATGGAGAAGAACCAAAGAACATTGGATGATGTTATATCGTGGAGAAGGTGATTCCACGAATAACATTGCGGAATCACACTTTCATCAATTAAAGCAAACATTTTTCTTGGGTAAGAAAAATGAGCGCATTGATGACATCGTCATAACTCTCATCACTGTTGTGATTCCAAATGCGATTATTAAGGTTCAAGTCGCTACTGTTTTGAATGAAGAAAGAGCAGTAAGAATTCTTACAAGGGCAGGTAATCAGATTGTTGAGCAAAGAGCTTCAAAACACGATGAATGTTTGAAATTAATTCAACACATTTTGGAAATTGTCGAAAGCCGAAGGATTGAACCTAATGTCCTTATTCCATCTTTGAAGGCAATATTAAATTTGGCACAAAGAAGTTTAAAGGAAGAGTAAGCAAGATTAGATAATTTGGACTTTTTTTAAAATTAATGAATAAACAGTATATTTTTGAAGTGTAAGCTTATTTACCTGAAGCTATATTACTTAATATAACATTCAAAGTATTATTGCTATTTATTGGAGAACAAATTTATGTAATTTTCACATGAAAATTGATAAATTTGTATTTCCTTATGATAATCAATTTTTGTATTTGTAGAGAGTCTCCCTGCATGATATCAAGACTTGGCTATTAGTCTTTATCCATTTTTGAAAATTGTATTGTAAATTGTAAGAATTTCTGAATACTACTACTATAAAATATAATTGCTTATCAATGTATATTCTCCCTGCATGATATCAAGACTTGGCTATAAGTCTCTATTCATTATGAGTATGACCCCATTTTTTACAAAAAGTGCCGAATTGCAACTTTGTCCCAATCTCCTGTTATTACAGATAAAGATTCAATATCAAAGAAGTAATACCAGATTTACGCAATTTTTTTTCAACTAACTGTTAGCAACTTGTTGAATATTACAGTGGTTGAAACTTATGTTACATATACCTCAGATATAATAATGCTAATATCACTTGTCAGAATTAAAAAATATTTCCTCTATATGCAGAAAGAGCGTGTTTTATACTAAAAATGTAAATTTGAACACAATGCCATTATATTACAATTGTGATTAATTATTTCATTGCAGTAATTAGTGGTGTCAACCAAGTTATTCTTTGAATGAAATAGAAAATGCATTAATAAATGGTGTCACAGTAAGATATTATGTAAGTGTGATTGATACTGCAATTATAAGTGGTGTCAAACTATATTATTTTGTGACTAATAATTTAAATGCAATAAGAAGTGATGCATTACTAAACATTACTAATAAAATTAGCTTAAATGCATTAATAAGCGGTGTATAACTAAATATAAGTGATAAAATGTGTTTGAATGCATTAATCAGCGCTGATTAAAATTTGAGAACAACTCTTTGACAGTCTGACTGTTTTTCGCGTGTTAAGAAATGGCTCGGACGTTAAGACAATAAATTCAAAATTGAGAACTTTGGCAAAATTTTCGTGGAATCATTTTTGGAGATATATTTAACAATATAAAAAATAAGAATATTTCATAAATTTGCAAAAGGTTCAAGAGCGGGTCGCCTTGATTTTTTTATTATTTAAAATAATAAAGACTCTTATTTACAGACTATACTTATAATCATTGAGAAACATATTTCACACACTTTGTATGGATATTGTATTAATTTATATTTACTTATATAAAACAACGTGACATCACAGCTGAATAAAAGTTTCTTTTGTTTTAATTATCCAAAACTAATACAAATTGATTTATATGGCCCTTTTTTATTCTACAAGTTTAGTTTTTCAAACGACATTATAATATTACCATTGTTACATATATAAAAATAGTTGACATGCTTAGCTATGACTTTTTTTCGAAATTTACTCGTAAAGTCATACTTTTTTATTTAAAAAATTATAAATACTTCGAATATTGATGAAGAATATATTTTCATTTTCAATTGGCCAAAAACCAACAATTATTTTTAATTCAAAATTCAATAGTTTACATGAATTTCACGACATAGTTTTTTGGTTTTTGGTTTCATTTTAGAAGTAGTCCAGCTCGATTTTTTTGAATTTCAGACCAAAATTAGGAAAATAGTAAACAGTATATTGTATATAATATTAATAAGGGATTCATGTACGATCAAATCCTCAGATCATGTGTCAAAGGGTATGTTTAGCATATTGCTTATAATTATAATTTAATCATATTTTCAAATAAAGTTAAATGTATTTTTAGTAAAAATGACAAAAAAATTCAATTCAAAATTATCGTTGTCTATTATGAGAGGCATTTCCTGCAAATATATTCGAAGAACTAAAACAAAAGACCTGAACATCAACAGTGATGGCTTTCAACAAGAAATTTTGAAAGAAGTATATGAAGTTTAAATAGAGTTGCTTAAAATACTTTTTATTATTTTGGAAATTTCGATAAAAATGTTATGGTATATTAAGAGGATTACGGTTTTTTAATCCTCTTTTTTTCGAAAAAAATCCTTATACTTTTGGTACTTTCGAACTCTAAAAATTATGAAAAAAATTAACTTAAGCTGAAATGTGTCTATTGTAGGAGTTCATGCTTGGATTGCAACCAATTTCAAAATGCAGATTAAATCATTCTAATTTATACAATAAATGTCATGGATTGATCTGAAAATATAGAAACATTGACACTCTTCATTTCTTTAATATAAAAAATTGTTGCATGCTAAGTAGTGTCAATGCGTAAGCTTCTCAATTTTATCGTCGAGGAAGCAACATAATTCCCTCAAAAATATTGAAAAATTATTGAAAATAAAATTAACTTAAATGGATTGAAAATAATAAATGTATTATAATATAATTATGCAAACAAAGTTTCTCCCATTGAGAGTTGGAATTGGAGGGTGAGAGGCATATAGGTATACTATATACCTCTCATCCTTCAATTCCCTCGTGAAAGTTCAAAAACAAAGTTCAGCAACGATTACACCAAAGTTTTCGAACTTTGATTGAAAGAAATTGCTTATGTTTTTATATTAACAATAACGCATGAAAAAGATTTGCTTATGTAAGAGGAAACTCTCTATCAGAGATGCTAAATTCATGCATTCGCATCTGATAGAGGGTTTCCTCTTACATAAGCAAATATAAGAGAATCTTTTTTGAATTGTATTCTCAAATATTGAATACTTATGAAAAGTGTTTTTTTTTTAAAATTGAGACAGAGACAGCGACATTTTTCGAAAAAGTGACATCAAGCGAGAAAACAGGGGAGGGGATTGCAAAATTATTTTTTAAAATATTATATATATACCCAGATTTTCCATACTTTCCCCTGTAAAGCTGGGGACACCACCTATCGTCATGATGGTGTCACTTTTATTTTATCTGTGTAAAATGCTTGAAGATCCTCCAGCACATAGTAGTCTCATGTTTCTTGAGCATCAACTGGAAAGTGGAATGTATTCAAATCAAAAAAGATACAATAAATATTATAATAAGATTGATTTAATGGATTTATTATTTCAATATTTCGAAATTTGCAAAAATGTTAATATTTTACCAATTTTTTGCAGATTGGAAAGATTAACAGGTATAAAAAGACGAAGCATAAATTACTATCACATAAAATGGCGAAGCAACGCGAGTTATAGACCCGGAAAAACATTTGGAATGCATAAAAGGTTATTTACTGCATTTCAAGAACAACAAATAGCTGAACTACTTAGAATACAATATATTAATGCAGGGATTGCAGTTAGATGAAGACATCTCAAACACATGTTATGGGAATTTTACTAAAACTTTGATCCAGAAGTTCGTGAATATCTGGATCGAGAAAGAGTATCTTATAAATTTGTTAAAGAATTTACAGCCTGCAATCATCTTTCGTTCCGAGTTATACGAAGCAAGAAACGAGAACAGATTGATCCAGCTCAAGTAGCCAACTACATTCAAGAAATAAATGACATTATAGAGTTTCATCCATTGAGTAGAGTATTTAACATGGACGAAACTCCAGTTAATTTCATTTTCCTTAACGGCATGGTATTGGCAAATGTCGGCGCCGAAGTTACAGCGCATTTACCAAACGATTACAAGCAAAGCTTTTCTGCAATCTGCACTATTTCACTTGATTGCAAAATCTTTCCGCCAATTTTCCTTGCCGAAGGAAAGACGGAGCGTTGCCATCAACAATTCACTGGAATAAATTCCAGATACGACTATCATATCATGCATTCTGGTGGAAATACCAACAGAGAGTTCATGATTAAGTATCTGGAAAAAGTGCAAGAATGGGCTAATAACGAACCTTGCGCTTTGATTTTGGATAGATACAGATCACATATAACTGATCAAGTCCAAGCAAAAGCAGCCGAACTTAACATCCAGCTGATCTTTGTCCCGAAATCAGGAACAGATTTGTATCAGAAATTTGCATCGTAGCCATACACAAGGCTCTGTGTAGATGAATGAAAGACAGGAACAAACAATTTGAACTTTAATTTACAAAATCTTCTCTCAGGATTGATGCCCTATCCGATCGAAAACGTGGAGATGGAAGGTTCGAATGTTGAGGAATAATCAAATGCGTTTAATTTCGGTATTAGGAAAATTCTGATTTACAATCTTAGAAAATACGACAATAAAATCAAGATTGGATCTATTGTTTGCGATAGCGGACCAGGACAACTCAAAGCATTATTAGAGCAATTCAAAAACTCTCTTTATTAAGGTGGAATTCAAAATATCAAGAAAATCATAATAATTCCCTGCCTGCGCCACAAAATAAACAACACTGATAAATATGCAGTCAACCATAACACCACACTTGGTGAATTTGTTGACAAAATTTCACCTTTGAATGACGATATAGATGAATTCTTGAACGAATTTAACCAAAATAAACATGAAATCTTATTCAATGCTTTCTTTTGTTCAAATTGTTAGAATGCATTTTCTTTTGAAGACATTTCTTCTTTAAGTGCCGAATCATAAAGTTTCCTTCTAGAAATTTCAAAGAAATTTATTAATCCGATGATAATGAGAAGTAAAATTGAACTTCTTACTAATTATCAACCCGAGCAGCCAAAAAGTTCAATTTCCGTATTACAATTATTCTGAACAACAAACACAAACATATAGGGTGACCCATTGAAGTGTAGTAACTTCATATGGGGAAGAATTAAAAAGAATTATTTATATATAATGAATCTTTATTAAATATACTCACCACTATTCTTTTGAACAGATTCCAATCTCGAAAGCCAGTCTTCAAAAACAGAGTTTATCATGTCCTAACCAATATTGTCGCAAATTTCACATATTGCAGAAAACAACGCATCCCGTGACTCAAATGTCATTCCTTGTAACTCTCCTTTGAGTGAATACTCCAAATTTTTTTATCGTCCAAAAATTTTCCATTTTTTCTCTGCCAAAACTGACAAAACACTTTTTCTCGCTATAGGAATGAGTTATAACCATGTTCACAGTGGTATATGATGCAGAATACATTGCTGCATATACCATATTGCTTTCATGGTATGTTTCCAAAAAACTTATGTTAGATTTCGACGATCGTAGTCAATATTAGTTTCACTCATGTAAACACAGTGGAATTAAATAGAACTAGAATGGCATATTTGTGTGATATAAATAAATTATGTATATCTCAAATTTTATCTCTGATGCATACCTTTTCTCACTCAAAAATAGAAATTTCATGTTCTTATTTACATTCTGACCATTTGCTATATGAGTTTAAATAGATTCATATGTGTAAAAGCTATAATTGTGAAATTTTAAGGAAGTTGAAATTATATGATTTGATGTGTATGAGTATTTTCCCGTTCTGCACATATACATGCAGGGTCTATCACTGGCACCCTGCACCTAGTAGAGAGTAAAGACACGAATTATGGTCCAAGATATTATCATGGACCGACTATAGGCTATTACTCTCTCAAGTTGGCGACTTGAGTTGGAAATTTAGATTCCAACTTAAGCCAACGACTTGAGTAGAGCACTACTACATGTTTCATGCTCTTAATATCTCATATATTATCCCTCTTTCTAGAGAAAGATGGATAATATATGAGATACAGCAAGCAGTATGAATCCTTGTGTAGTTGTCACTTTTTTGCAAATAGTCCGGGATTGATTTTTATGAGGGATTTTATCTAAAAATAATTTTGACACCCCATAGTTTTTTCGCTTGATGTCACTTTTTTGAATAAAGCTATTATGAAAAAAAACAATGATTTCGCATATAGCAAGATTATTAATAACCCTTACATGATTAAAGCATGCTCCAGGAATGGATGATTTTATTGATCAATTTTATATAGGAAAAAAATATGCAAGATCAATTGTATTTGATTTGATCAATTTAATAGGTCCAAAATTAGCGGTTTGACAAATAAACTCATGTATAGCCGTCCACTAAGAAACAAGGCAGAGAAGTGGGGTCCTCTTGATCTTGACAGTATGGATGAGGAAAATAAAGTTGCTTGGTACTCTGTCAGTTCATCTGAAGATGACAAAGAACATTTTTATTTATGCTTTTCCAAATTTGACGTATTTTAAATAATTAATTTTTATTAATAAAATTATAATTCAAATAATTAATTTTTTGTTCATAATATGTAATAATTCATTTGCACTTTTTCAATAAACTACACAGTTTTTGAATATTATTCAAAATAAAAATTCGTAATTTTATTGAAAAAATGCATAAAGAATGATATTATATTTGAACATTTTTCTCAGCACATCAGAAAAAGTGCAAATAGAATGGTAATTTTTTGATAAATAAGCAATTTTATATAATTAATAAACAATTATATTATTTCAACATTTGTTATATTTTTATCTCTCAGTTCACTTTTGTCAATTTAACTATTAAATAACTCGAATTTATCTTTAATTGATTTTTTTTCTGTCATAATCATAAAAATCCGTATTTTTCCCTCCTGAACTAACAAATTTTATCAGCATATTTTTAGAATAACATTTGACACTATAATTTTTTGCGAATCGTTACTCTGAAAATTGCGACTAAATAATCAAACCACGTCTGAAAAACGATTGCAACATTTTTTTAAAAAAGAGAATTGTAATTATAATCGCATTTGATTTTAAGATCGAGATTTTAATTTAAAATCACGATCTTAAATGAAATCATAAATTCAAAAAAGTCAGAATATTTGTAAAGTTCGCGATTTTAAATTTTAATCGCGATTTTAAAAAACGATTGTGATTTACTCTAATATATTACAATGATAAGTAGATGTAGCTAAACTGAATTGTTGCTTTTTTTGAAATTTTCTAATGTCAGATTTTTTTGGGAAATTTTCTAATTTAAAATTAAAAAAAATGATAAGCAAAAAGTATGTATTCAATTTACATTATTAAGATGGTTATTGCAAACCGGACAAATTATAAAAATGATTGTTAATGGAAGATCGTCATCAATTATAAATGCAGATGAATCTGTAATTAAGTACAATGAAAGAAATAGATATGTAGATTCTATAGCAAAAGATTGTCCTCATGAAGGAGTTTATGGAAATGAAGATGATCATGTTTCAATTATGGTTTCTTTTGCAGACAATGAATGGCTATGTTCTATTTTGATTGCACAGTGGGAAAAAAATATGCACTTATGCTCTTTAAATTGAAGATGCTCAGGGAAACCGACCCTTTGGCCGAGTTATGCTTGTTGAAAAACCCTACACATATTAATTTTTGGTGATATTTCCATTTTGTAAAAAAATGTTTTCTTATTTAAAAATGTAATAAAAAGTTAGAATTAATAAATCAATAAATTAATAAATTGATAAGAAAAGTTATCGTTTGAGAAAACTAAATATTTTTCAATGATTTATTTTATTTCGAAATATGTTCTAAATGTAATATATATTAATAATTGTTTGTTTTATAAAAATTAATTCCCATAAGACCATTCAATTTTTGGAACTAACTCAAGTACAGATAGCTCAATTTATTGACTAGGCCGGTTCTTATGTGGAGTATATAAGAATTTCCGAAAAAGTGACACCCAAAAAGTGACACTTTCAATAGGGAGTAACACTTAAAAAGTGACAATTTAAAATTCACAATAAATAAAAATAATAAATTTTTTAGTCTATTAAATTATTCTTTTCTTTGAAATCCTCTAAAAATTCTTCGAAATGTTCTAAAATATAATCTGGAGAATTATAACAAAATTCATTAATTTCTAACATATACGTATCTAACAATTCATTTGGAATTTCAAACGATCTTAAATATGTAATTGAATTTTGTATCTTCTCATTTATTTGAGAAAGTTTTTCTTCAGCATTTTCCAATAAAAATCTTAATGGATTCAAATTGGCTTCTTGATTCTGAACAAAATTTAATACTTGGTATAAACGTGATTGAACTTCTCTTTTCAATTTTGTTTTATAATCTGTCAATCGAGGCTCGCAAATTCTAATTGAAGGAATAAAACCTGTTTGAAGTAAATCGTTTTAATACGATAAAAGTAATTGGGTGCAACTTCTTCTAAAAGATTTTTGACAAAAACATCAATTCTTTGATTTTTAACGCAGCCAAAATCGTGATATTTTATCTTTTTAAATAAAGATTCAGAAACGTTATTCACAACGGTTAATTCATTTGGTCTGGCAGCGGCTATCCACATCATAGCCAACAATTCCTTATACAAAATTCAAAAACTTGGGTGCAATCAGAACTGATTGCACCCAAGTTTTTGAACTTTCTTGAGGAATTAAAGGGTGAGAGATTTATAGTCTATCTATATATCTCCCACCCTCTAATTCCCTCCCTGACAGCGGGAAACTTTGTCTGAATGTTAAACTATTCAGACAAAGTTTCCCACTGTTTGCGAAGGAATTGTTGGCTATGATGTACTGATTCATGATCAGTACATCATAGCCAACAATTCCTTATACAAAGTTCAAAAACTTGGGTGCAATCAGAACTGATTGCACCCAAGTTTTTGAACTTTCTTGAGGGAATGGAAGAGTAAGAGGTATACATTATGAATATATACCTCTTACCCTTCCATTCCCTCTCTGACAGCGGGAAACTTTGTCTGAATGTTAAACTATTTAGACAAAGTTTCCCGCTGTCAGCGAAAGAATTGTTCCATCTGGTGCATAGAGTGTGAATCCATGCACCAAATGGAGCAAGTCCCTCGCGAAATTGCCCAAACTTGCGTCGCATTTCAAAGATTGCGACCCAAATTTTGGCGATTTCTAGTAGAGATGGAGTATTTTGAGTCACTGACCTATATGCAGTGGCTCAAAGGGCTCCATCTCTACTTTGAAGCAAGGAAACTTTCCTCGAAATTTTGATAATTTGAAGAAAGTTTTCAAGCAATTAACAAAGGATTACTCGCTATGAGGTAAAAATTCTAGATTTTCACCTCATAGCGAGAGCTTCCCTTTCATTGCTTGAAAACTTTCCCCAGCTTCAAAATTGGGGAAAGGGCTGTAAAGTCGACTCCGATACCAGCAGGTACCAGAGTATTTAAAAGAGAAGCCCTCGTACGAGTTTCTATGAAGACCTTCTCATTCAAGAAGATCTTAATAGAAAATCGTACGAGGGCATTGGAAACTCGCGTCTGGTACATGTTGGTACCAGAGTGTTTGAGATTTGAAGACTCTGGTACTAACATGTACCAGAATTTATGATGAATTTAAGATGGACCATTATAAAATGGTAGCGGTTTGTTTCAAAAAAATTTAGATGAGATTTGCATAGATATAGATTATATGATTTATACATATGAAAAAATATATATAAAATATAATTTTGAGATAATTATTAAATAATATTTTAAATATTTGAATTTGAGGTATAATTTTATAGTAAAATATATTATAAAGAGTATTTATATAAATATTGTAAAATAATATAAGTAATAAAAATTGAGACCCCTCCCTGTTTTTGATGTTTTGTCACTTTTTCGGTAATTCTTATTGTTTCTATAAAAATTAATTCCCATAAGACCATTCAATTTTTGGAACTAACTCAAGTACAGATAGCTCAATTTATTGACTAGGCCGGTTCTTATGTGTATTCAACTAAACTCAAAGGGGAGAGTAACAAAGTTGCGCAAAAATCTGACACCCCTTTTGTAAACCATAATTTTTGACATTTTATTTTTTAATGGTTTGCTATTCCCTTAAGACTTTCAGGAGCTCCATGTCTCCCTTTCGTAGGATTAGGAGCTATGGAGCTCCTGAAGCCCTATCAGCAGAGGCCCTTTACCATTTGGGCCTCTGCTGATCAGATGATCAGCGAACTCTTTGTTCGCTTTAGGAGCTCCATACCCCCTTTCGTAGGATTGGGAGCTATGGAGCTCCTCTGCCGCAACTTCCAGATGCAACTATCAACAATTCCTTCTAATGATTCAAAAATAATCAGTAGAAAGGATTGTTGATAGTTGCATCTGTTAAAATCCTTTGGGGTATTCCCTCTAAGAGTCCTCGGGTCCTGGCGTATTACACTAGGGCCCCAAGTTTCTCTCGGAAGGAATCTCATATAAGTTTACATTGTCAAAAATAATAATTTGACAGTTTACAAAAATTTACATAGCGCACTTTTGTTACCTACTCAACTCAAAGAAAACAGATAATTAAAAAAATTTGCAATGATTATCAGTTTATAAGTTCAAATAAAGAAACAAAAGCTATTACGCGCTATTTAATGAAGCTTTCAAAGCCAACACATTTAGTTGGAAGGGAGTCTGATATGTGGTGTGAAAGGTTCCTCAATGCCAATGTCTCTTGCAACGAGTGGAAGAGGTTCTAAATTTTGAATTTTTTATATGTTATGTTTTTGATGAAAAATGTATTATTATATAGAGTTGTTTAAAATAAATAGAATGTAAAAAATTTAGGATTGGTAATTGATGGGTGAGAGTACTATTGAATGAAATAATATCTCGCACCATCCAATTCTTCCTATGGCGCCGGAAATTTTTTGATGAAATGCGAATATCGCGAAATCTTTATATAATATTCTACAATGAGGGTACAAATTGCCATTTTAATTGCATTATACAATTATTATATAGAATACCAGAAATAAATGAAATATGCAAATATTTTCATAATAATAATATTGAATCTTTGCCAATTGACACTTTTGGGAAGATTTTTTTAATTTTATCAGTAGCAGCAGCTCAAAAATTATCGCTTCGTATTGTTGGAATTGTTTCAATTGTTTGTATGTTATGTTTAAATAAATGAAATAATAAATGTTTTAATGCGTTTTATTGAAAGGAATTGTTTCAATTGTTTGTTTGTATGAATTGTTATATGTTATTTTAAAATAAATGAAATAATAAATGTTATTTGTTTTAATGAATTTTATTGAAAGGAATTGTTAGAATTGTTTCAATTGTTTGTATGTTATGCTATATGTTTTGTTTGTATATGTTATGTGTTATTATATTAAAAAAAGAAAAATATAATAATAAAATTAAGTTTTAGTCGAATTTGAATTTGAAGTTAGTCATCCAAATTAATGTTGCATAGTGCTTTGAAACCCTTTTCAAGGACTTTCCTTTTTGTTTTGTCTGTCTGTATCTTGACAAAGTTGTCCCATCTTGCACTTTCAGAGTCCTCCAACTTGCTTTCCAATTTCCGAATTTTTCTTTGCAATTCTTCAATTTTGTTTCTGGAACTTGCAAGTTCATCAAGGTTCATTTGAAGTCTTCCATCTTTCACCACATTAACTTGTGTGAGATGGTGAACTTGTTGTTCCAATTCGAATTTTTGTTCTTCGAATTTCTTTCTGTCTTGTTTGTGCTGCTATCTCATATTTCTAATGAGAACTCTTTGTGCAGCAATTCTTTTAGACAAGTCAAGCTCAATGGGAGTGCTGATTCTTCCAGTTCTTCTAGCCAATTGCAAATTCAATCTCGAATTGCTTTGTTCCCCCATTGGAATTGCTTCATCCCCTGAGGAAATTTCACTTGCAACTTGTTCTGGTTCTGGTGCTTGTGGAACAAGGGTCGTGGGAGGAGACAATGGTGCGGCGGATTGCATGTCTTGCATTAAAAAATGACACTTTTTCTCGACCACGACGATAAAACACATCAAAAAAATTTCAAAAAAATGAAATTTTTATTCGAATTCAAATTACTTTGTTAGGTCTTTGAATTCCATTTCAAGGAGAAACAATTCTTCAAGTTGGTCCATTGTTTCATCCATTGTGTTGTCTCTGTGGAGCAACCAGTCAAGGACATTTTCATGAGCTTCTTGAACTTCTCCAATTTGTTGAAGAATTGGTTCCAATTCTTGTTGTAATTTCCTTTCTTTTTCTTCGAGTTGTGTTATTTCATCTTCAAACTTCTTCCTCTCTGTCAAGTCCATTGGTCTCCATAATATTTCTAGAATGCGTCGTGTTCGATTGCGAATATATTCCAATTCTGTGTTAATTGAACTGTAGCGGTTCCTTTCACTTCTTCTTAATGGTATTCCTCTTCCTCTTGAACATTTGGCTGTCGGTCTTCTCTTGGGAAATTGCTTCAATTGGGTTGGAATTTCTTCTTCATCCGATTGTAGAGGAATTACAATGTCTTCTTCTTCTTTTGGAGCTGAAACAACTTGTTCTTCTGAAAGTTTTGTGATAAGGTATTCATTACATCAGGAATACATTACAATTCTAATATAAAGCTTAAAAGCTTGAGATGAACATATTTTGATTTTGAATAAGACATCTTATAGAAAAAAATTGAGATTGAGAAATCAAAATATCACAAATAGATTTGAATCCTCATGTAAAACTTCAAAGCTTGAAATCAGACTCTTTTCCATTATAATTTAGATTTATATCATTAATTCAAACCAATTTTAATTATTATATATTATCACAACTGTAATCGATTAACATATTCTAATTATATTCTTAAATTCTTTGAATTTTTAAATTTCTTATTTTTTCATATTTATACTATTAAATTTTATTCCATCTTTTAGCATCTTATATATTCCAATTAATACTATTTTAATCCCATTTCAACTTTAATTTTAATCCATTGGCTCCCTATTTCTTTAAGCTTTTTTATTCAATACTTTATACTTTCAATTTTTCAACACTCTTTCAAACATTGGCTTTCTAATATTCCATTTATTATTACCTTTTAAATTATTTTATAAAATTTTAAATTCTATACTTCTCAATTTATATTTCATTCAAATATTCCTTATCATTTTTTTCATTAATTTCTTTAGATTATTTATCACATTTACCATAACTGTACTGCTTAACATCTTCCACATATATATTATTTTTAATTACCCAACTTACTCAAATTCATAATATAATTATATTATATTCTCCTTTTATCATTTTGTAAATTATGATATTTGAGTTTTTGTAAATTTGCGGAAGAATTCTTATGATCCAACTGTCTGAATCTTCGGATTTATTAGAATTTTCGGATTTTTCTTCATTTTCCGAAAGATTGTTTTGCGTTTCTTGAGTTTCTTCAATTTCTTCTGGTAATTCTATTAGTTCTTCATGCACCAAGCTTGTGAGATCGTCTGGCTTGTTCATTTGAACTGGATTCTCCTTTGAATCTACATTTTCGGAATCTGAAGTTAACTTTTGAACTACTTGTACTTTTTGTGAAGATTTTGAGGCTTCCCTAATATGAGGTGATAAAGAATTTTCTGTAATTCTCGAAAAATGTTTCTTTGAACTTGCTTGTGTCAACTGCTGAAATATTGTTTTCCACTTCACTTTACATGTTATTTAAATATTAAATTTATTAATGTTGCAAGGTAAGATGTGTCAACGATTATTTGGCTCTCAATTTTTATCGTCTAGGAAGTAAAAAGTGTCGCTTTATTTTAAAGATATTTCTTTATGTATGTATATACTATATATGAAATAATAATTTTGAGAGCGCATTTGAGAAAGACATAGAATAAATTGTGAAATTTGAGATATAGATTTGCAATATATAGATATGACAAATCCTAAAATTTTAGGAAAAAATGACTTTTCTATACACTTTTGAGAGTGTTAAACAAAAAATTTCTCACAAATATTTATATGTTAGATGAATTTTTAATTATGTTAAAATTGCGCCAAAAGTCACTTTTCGTTATTCATATTTTCGGAATGAGATATCTTAATGAAATAAACTTTGCTTGCATAAGATAACAAATCTGATTTGAACCAAGAAGATAACTTCTTGATAAACAATCTTTAAATGACATGCACTATTAATAATGTCATTTGGCGCCAAATTTTTTAGATTAAAATTGTAATATTATAAATATGTTTGATATTATATACTTATTGAAATAGTAAAACAAAATCAAAATTATTAGTTTTTAAATTATATTTTCAAGTAATCATTGAAATAAATCATACTTTGTGAATTGGAAAGTGGGAGGTATTATTATATAAAACGCTTTTGAAGTATCTGGTTTATCCCGGTTGATGTTAATAAGCCGCTAAACTCAGGTTTCATTGTGCTATCCAAGGTTTCCACAAGATTAGTATGTCGATGTGGTTATCTTCATGAAAATGTCCATTATTTGGCAAACACGGTACTGCAAAATACTGAGTGATCGTCTTGTTCTACTCTGTCGGAAACCGAACGTTGCTTTAATAAGATCTTGGACGTTTAACCACTGAGGAAGAACAGTGTTGAAGAACAACTGAAGAAGAAATAATGTTTGAGGTGATGAAGCAGGTGCAGAACGAAATGTTAATGAAGCTACCTAATGAAGAAAAGACGAAGCTACTGCATAACCAAAAAATTTCGGAAAAAATGGAATGTCAAATTTTATTTTCGGGAAAAATTGGAATCATTTCACCAAAAAAATGTAACAGGCAATAACAAGTATTAATATTATAATTCAAAACAAAATGCATTTTTGAGATTGAAGTGTATTTGAATTGATAATTGTTATCCACGAGTACACTTGATGATAATTATTAAGATGCTAATGTTTATGATATTATTAAGGCGCTGATCGCCTCTTTCCATAGCAGAAGTGATATTAACGTATATTAACGTACATATTAAAAACTTTTTTCTTTTTCATACCTTCGATTTAAAGTGGGAATTGGAGGGCGAGAGGCATATATACCTTTCAAAAATTTGTCAAACTGTTGTGCGAAAGCGATCAAATTTAATTATTATTTTGAATTTTTTATAAATTAATTAATAATATTTTATAAAATATAGTGTATATTTTAAGCATAATATTAAAAAGACTTTCCAAATTTGCAGCAAAAAATAAGAGTGAGCGTCATTTTTTGTCACTTTTCTAGTGACCCTTTTTTGTACGTAACAAATTTAAAAATATATGTTTTTGTATTCTTTTTAGAAAAAAATTGATTGATTTGTAAATAGCTTACATTTTGACAGAACTTAATATTGAACATATTAATGAGTCTTTGCTTATCTAGTTGATCACGATTACCATTAACTCGATGTTATAAGAATTGAACAACTGTAGACAAATTTTAGATGTAATTGAATAAGAGTTCAGATCCCTATTCAACTTGAATAGATTTTCAACGTCATTTATATAAGTATTTTTTCATAATAAATTTCCTAAAACTATATGATTCATTTGGCTCTGGAGTTAACAGAGTTTTATATACCCTATAATTTTATGAATATGGCACTTTTCGTCGATTTTCAAAGAATTAAATCGCTTCTATCTCAATAACTAATAAACATATAAGATTTTTGAAAGTATATATAGTGTACTACATCTCAAGATATTATTAATATGTATTAGAAAGAATAATATATTGGATTTTGATATCACAAAATGACTTTTCAATTTATTGTAGTTCCTCACAGAGTTGAGATTCTACAAAATTCTTTGCAGATAATTTATGAAGGGATGATAGACTAACGAACTATAGATACATGAATTGAAAATAAAAGAATCGATTAAATATGAACCTTCATAAACCGTTTAAGAAACTTAAAAACTATTCTTTATTGTTTATTTTGACGAAGTTTAATATGATTGTGGTTTTATTGGACAATAATCGAGTAACGGAAAAATATAACATTTATCTATAAAGTGAAAATTTAGAGGCATATTTCGTAAGATATTTCCTCTCTGATTACAAGAACTATTGTGAGCTATCAATCTAATGAAAGAGAGCAGATTTGACCGTAATGAAAATGCAATACTTCGAAAATCAATGCAAAAAAGATTAATTTGTTAGAAACAATCGACTATGACACTGAATTCTAAGAGCAAACGTTTACATTAGGATATTTTGATCATTTCCAAATATTGCAAAATTGCATTTAAACAAGTTAAGGAGAATACTATATTAACCGTGTTGTAAGGAAATATAACAATTTTAAAGATTTTGCGACAGAATTTGAAAAAATATGAAAATCAGATATATAAAAATAGAATAAAATAACATTATGATGGAATATAAGTAGATGAGCTATTAATGCTGCTATGATTTAAAATTGAGTAGTAATGAAATAGAATTTCGATTAAAAAATTTAATGTAATCGTATGAAAGCTTTGATCCAAATAATTAATATTCGCAAATATTTTAACCTACTAATAAAATTCTGATTATATTAAGATATTGTAAAAATGAGATTCCAAATTGAATGGTGATGGAGATGAAAATTTTTAAAAATATAAATAAGAGGATAAATTGATTGAGATATTAACTAGTAAATATTTGAAAAAGTAAATTATTTGAAATCCTTTAAAAATGTTACGGATAAAAGCTATATAAATAAAATGACTGGTGTGGTTGGTTAGCTTAATGTGTAATATCAAAAAGAATTAATGGGTGTTGTGAAGTGAGCAACTTTGAGAAGAATCATTTGTGATTCTTGTCAAAGTTGAATCAAAGACAACAATTGATAGACAATTGTTGTCTTTGTGTACAACATTCACTTGAATTATAAACAATAACAAGTGTTTGTTGTTCACTGAGCAACTTTGAGAAGAATCATTTGTGATTCTTGTCAAAGTTGAATCAAATTTTTATTTATTTCATGTATTTCTTTTTTAATATCGATATTCCTATTATTATTCTACCGTTTATTAATAAAAATATTTCTTGCAAAACCTTAAAAATAAAATTTTGGATTCTTCCTTCTCATATACTGTACCCTTAGTTCTTTATTTTTAAAAATCTTATTTGGCGGTTACTCTTAATTTTCTCAATTTTCTGAGCAATGAATTTACTTTTTTATATCAAATTTTAATGAATATCAAATCTTATAAACAAGATGTTGAAAATATTGATATTGGTGATTGTGTCTCCAAGATACCATTTCCTGTTGACAAAATAGATGCATTTGACGAAAATATCCTTGTTTTTACCCGGATTGTTATTTATTACGACTTTA